TCACTTGGTTAATCCTCTGCCTGCAGCACCGGCATCCCATGTGGGCGCCCATTCTGGTCCTGGCTGCCCCTCTTCCAATCCAGCTCTCTGCTGTGGCCTGGGAAAGCAGTAGAAGATGGTCCAAGTGCTTGGGCCCTGCACCAGCGCAGGAGACCTGGAAAAAGCACCTGGCTGCTAGCTTCGGATCGGCGCAGCTCCAGCCATGTGGCCATCTGGGGAGTGAACCAACAGAGGGAAGAGCTCTTTCTCTTTGTCTCTACCTCTCTCTGTGTAACTCTACCTCTTAAATAAATAAATAAAATCTTTAAAAAAAAAAACTGTTGCTTCACATATTTTGCCTGTTCTTCAGTTGTTTCAGGTTTAAGAGGAAATCTAGTCCCTGTTATTCCATCTTGACTGGAAGTTGAACTTGGCCTCATTCCAAATAGGTATTTTCCCTGAATATAGATTTCTGAGTTGCCCCCACCTCACCCCCACCTTTTTTTTTAAAGATTTATTTAATTTACTTGAAAGGTGGATTACAGGGAGAGAGAGACAGGGGCAGAGAGAAAGAAAGGTCTTCCATCCACTGGTTCATTCCCCAAATGGTCGTGATGGCTGGAACTATGCTGATCTGAAACCAGGAGCCAGGAGCTTCTTCTGGCTCTCCCATGTGGGTGCAGGGCCCAAGCACTTGGGTCATCTTCCACTGCTTTCCTAGGCCATAGCATAGAGCTGAATTGAAAGTGGAGCATCCGGGACTTGAACTAGTAGCCATGTGGTATGCTGGCGCAGCAGGCAACGGCTTAACCTACTATGCCACAGCACCAGCCCTGCTACCCTTTTTATTTTTAATTTATTTGAAAGGCTAAGTAAAGAGAGAAACATAAAGAGAGAGGGAGAGAAAGAGAGATCGATCATCCCTCTGTGGGTTTGCCCACCAAAAAGCTACAAAAGCCAAGGCAGGGCAAGGCCAAAGCCAGGATCCTGGAACTCCATTCTGTTCGCCCACATGATGCAGTGGCCCTAGCATTTGGGCCATCTTCTGCTTTCCCAGGCACATTAACAGGCTGGAAGTGGAGCAGCTGTGAACGGAACCAGCACTCGTATGGGATGCCTGTGTCCCAGGTGGTGGCTTAACCTGCTGTGCCACAACGCTGGCCCCAAGTTAGCTGTTTTTCTTTCAATACACAAAAAGTGTCCCACTGTCTTGTAGCCTTCACAGTTTATTGTAAGAAGTCCATAGTGTTTGTTGTTTCTTTGTTTGTAAGGTCTCATTCTTTGGCTACCTTCACACATTTTTTGCTTTATTCTTTCTTTCCTCTTCTATGATTCCAGTTACTCATATATCAGGCTATTTGATATTGTTGCACAGGTGCCTGAGGCTGTTTTATTTCTCTAATAATTTTCCTCTGTTTAGATTGGATCATTTCCCGCACTGTCTTCAAGTTTAATGCTGTCCCTCTACCGCACATAATACATACATAGTTTAGGTCAGTCAGAAACGTGGGAAGAGTTTATGTACAGAACGTGTGAACCCCTTCCCTACCCCTCTTCATTCTAGAATTACCCCTCTCTGGTTGCAGAGTATGAGGCTTCCCCTGGCTCTGTCTTGTTCAGCAGCCAGAAAGTGGTATGTTTTCTATGGGAACTCAGCTGGCATGAATCACAGATTGTTTTTCAGGCCAAAGCCACAAAAGATGAGGCATTCCAATGTGATACTCTCCTTGCGTAAACCTTTTTGTAAGATTTATTTATTTATTTGAAAGGCAGAGATACAGAGATACAGAGATGGAGAGAGAGAGAGAGAGCGAGCGCTTCCATCCACTGGGTTACTCCCCAAATGGCTGCAACGCCCAGGCCCAGGCCGGAGCCAGGAGCCAAGAGCTTCTTCCTGGTCTCCCATGGGTGCAGGGGCCCAAGTACTTGGGCCATCTGCTGCTGCTTTCTCAGTTGCATTAACAGAGAGCTGGATAGGAAGTGGAGCAGGACTCTAACCAGCACTCATATGGAATGCCGGCACCTCAGGCTGGGGCTTAACTACAACACAGCATTGGCCCTCCTTTGTCTAAATTTTACTGTGCTCCACAATCCACATGCTGTGGCTTACTCTCCAGAACCTTCAGGTACTTGTTTCTTTTATTTTATACAGAGTTTATCTAATTTTTTTTTTATCTGTGAGCGGTTTAGTCTGTTAGAAAATTGCTCCAGCATACCCCAGCTTTTAAAAAAGTTTTCTTAAGTTCAAAAATTTCACACACATATAGAAAAGTGTATAAACTGGAAACAGCTTAAAGAATTAGTATAAATTGAACAGGTTTATAACTACCATCTCAGTTAAGAAATGGAATACTGCCAGCACTCTAGAAACTCTGGGAGTGTTTTGGGTTTTGTTTATTTCTTATCTGATTTGTTTTTCAAGAATAGGAAAACTATGTTTATAAGATGAGGGAAATGACTGATGAATCAGTTCCTGAAAGAGAAGAAATACTAAGATTTTTGACATTGTCAGTCATCGTGGCCCTATAAATAAAAACCATGATGAAGTGGCAATAAAATGCCATCAGAATGGCTAACATTTAAAATGTGAGCAAGTCTACCTCTCAAACACTGGTGGCAGCTTAGTGTGTTGCACCACAACAGCCGCCCCCAAGAAATTTGTTTATTTTGAGCTAGAAAGGCATATGAAAATTTTCATACTAAAAGTATTCTTATTGCAAAAATTTGCAAACACTGCACATGTCCATCAGTAGTAGAGTGAACAGTTAAATTGTGGCCTAGTCATATAATGGGATGTCAAATAGCAGTGAACATGAACAAAGCCTTGCTCTGTGTCGTTTGCAAGAATCTCAGAAATCTAATGTTGAATGCAAGGAGCAGCACAGAAAGGGGCGTGAGGAGGACGTCATAGTGCTGGAAACATTCGATTTTGTTATCTGCCCCATGTTACACTGATATGGGTTCTTTCTAAAAACCTACGCAGTGTTACAATTTATCATTAAATGTGTAACTTTGAAGGTGGAATATGGAGGGAGCTTACTGCTCTAGTCTAGGGGAAGATAGTTAGGAAAAAAAAAAAAAACATGGAGTGCAGTCTCAGGGAAGTTAGGGAGAAAATGGTAGAGGAAACTCCATGCAAATTAGAGGGGCACTGTGGATCGATGGGGAGGGTGAAAAGAAATGTGTAATTTTTGATTACAGTGCACACCTGAGCTTGTCCTCAATGAAGATTTTCCATTGGTTGGTATATTCCGACTTCTCTAGGATGGTTCTCTCACCTTCAGGGATCTTACGCTTGTCTTTCCACCTTCTTTTACCTTTTCATCTGTTCTCTGCTCTACATAGCAAAGGATTTTCTTTCCGCTTACTTTTGTATAATCTACTCATCCCGGTGTTTTGAAGAAGTAGAGAAGTACAGTATTAAGTCATTTATTCCAATTCTGTTCTTATGTAAAAGATATGCTCGTTTAGGTAAGAGCATTAGTTAGTGGAACTGTCACCTGCTAGTTGTTTACTCCACTCTCATTTCTTCTAACAACGTGAATTGTGATTTAGGTTGTCATTTTTTCCTCTTACTATTTCCTCAGAAGGAGATAATTGATGCTGCCAGAACATTCTAAAATATATCGTTAAGGCCTTCTTCATTTGCAATGAAATACTGTATTATCATCTGTTTTTGTTAGAATTGTAGGTAATAAATTTTAAAAAGAATTGAAATGATGGTTGCTTTTGGCTCTTATTAAACAGCGAAGAAGAATTATTGGGTATAAATGTACAGTTCTGTGAATAACTGTCTTCTGGTACTAAAATAATGTTTATTTGTATATTGTTTAAATAATACAAAGGCAGATGGTTAATAACTTCTATCTGCAACCATAAAAGTAAAAGAAGTTTATTTAAAAATTTTTTAATCAAAGGGACACATGAGCAGTTAATCTGTTGTTCTCTTTCCTTTGATAACAAATTTAAAATAGTTTAAAAATACTAAGAGACAATTTCTTAATCATAGGCCACAGTCTCTTATTTTACTTCTCCATAGTTCCTCTCTGTTCTTGTTGGAAACACTGAAGTATTGAAATCCTTCTTTTCTGTAAAGAATAGTTCTCCCTTTTACCCAGGAATAGATTTTTGTAGCAAATCCCTGAGTCAGCAGTTATTTTGACTCTAACTGAAAGAGATAAAGTTCCTAAGAATTTATTATATATGTTTCTTGCCACTGAGTGAGCAAGAAAAATACATAGCCATCAGTGCTGACTGGTTGGCAATTTCTGAAACACGATGCCACAGCTTCTCATAAATAACTGAGAAACAGATTCTCGGAGAATTTGGCAGAGATCAATCTCTAGATGGATGAGTTAGTCTATAAGCAAATAGCTACTCAACTTCTTTTGACTTTTAAGAATGTTCTGTGTGTTTTCTAATCCAGACTCTTGGATTTCAGTGAGTCCCTAGAGATAAAGAGTTTTTTGCAGACTGATGAAGACTCACAGGTCAGCAACTGAGCATCACTGCTCTGACACCCTGCCCATAGTGCTGTGATCTGGTAATGATGGCCTCCAGAGGTGCAGGAAGGGGTAGGCTTTGCCACCTCTTGCCAGATCATTAAAGTGTATGCTGGAAAAGTCCTCAGGTACTGGATGCTTTTCTTAGGATTCATCTAAATGCTACTTCTACTCTGGTGTCAAACCGCTTGAGTTGTAACCTGGCTCTGCAACCCCTGTGATCTTTGATCCAAGTTTCTCTCTGCCTTGGTTTCCTCATCTATAAGATGAAGAGTAATAGCATTTACCTCAAAGAGTTGTTAGTTTAAATAAGTTAATACATGTCAAGTTCTTTGGATAGTCTCCTAGCACATTATAAAACTGCTCAATGAATGTTAGTTTTGAGTACCCATTATATATATGGGTAACCCCTCTGACCTAGCCCTCAGCCCAATTTTCAATAAATACAAATAGTATTATTAAAAGCACTTCTTTTTTAAAAAAGATTATTTATTTATTTGAGAGGTTGAGTTACAGACATAGAGAGGGAGAGACAGAGAAAGATCTTCCATCCACTAGTTCACTCCCCATATGGCTGCAATGGCTGGAACTGGGCCAATCCAAAGCCAGGAGCCAGGAGCTTCTTCCAGATCTCCCATGCAGGTGGAGGGGGCCGAGCACCTGGGCCATCCTCTGCTTTCCCAGGCCATAGCAGAGAGCTGGATTGGAAGAGGAGCAGCAGGAACAGAAACTGGCACCCATATGTGATGCTGGTGCTGCAGGTGGAGGCCTAGCCTACTATGTCACAGTGCCAGCCCCGGAAAACACTTCTTGATTTTCCAGTGGCATCACCTTTTATCCTGAGAATCAAATGAGCTGGGGCTCTCTCAAAAACCAAACCATGTTTTTGTCTAATATCAGAATTTTGACTGGAAGGGATTATATGGATTATATGGATTATGGAATCTGCTTCTTTTTGTATAGTTGGGAAGTCTGAAACTCAGGAAGGTTGACAAAGCATCCATTTTTGTTATTTGGACATTTCTCATTTGCTAATCAAAAGATCCTACACATTGTTACCAGAGTTGTTAATATGCACAGTGCCTAAGTCATTATGTGCACACTGATAGTTCCTAGGGCAGGGATATCTAGAATGAAAGAGAAGTGTGAGACACTGAAATGGAATTAAGTGTAGGAAGTTGTGATCATTTAAGGTGGTAAATAGAGTGCTTGTGTCTTAAGAGACATGGGCCTCTTCTGGAAGGGCTATGTAGCAGGTTGGAGTACTCTGTAAAGAGGAACGTATTAATTTGCATTTCTCTGATGGCTGGGAATATCAAGCATGTTTTCCATATGTTCTTGGCCATTTGTATCTCTTCTTTTGAGAATTGTCTGTCAACTCAAAACCACAATAAGATTTCAACTCACTCCTGTTAGAATGGGTGTTATCGAAAAATAATAAATGCTGGTGAGAACGTAGGAAAAGGGAAACTCTAACACATTGTTGGTGGGAATGTAAATTAATACAGGCACTATGGAAAAAAATGGAGATTTATTTAAAAAAAGAAAAGCAACTAGAAATATAATTGCCATATGATCTAGCAATACCTGGGTATAGATCCCAAAGACATAAAATCCTTTTATCAAAAGAGATACCTGCTCCACCATATTTATTGTAGTTTTGTTTATAATGGCCAAGATTTGGATTTATCTAAGATGTCAGTCACCAAATGAATGGATAAAGAAAATGCAACACACACATAAAAATACACACACCCACACAACGGAATATGATTCAGCCATATGAAAGAATGAAATCCTATTATTTGCATCAAAATGTTTGGAATTGGGGGACTGACAAATACCACATGTTCTTCCTCATATTTGGAAGCTGAAATAAAAATCTGAACAGATAATGTTGATTACTAGAGGCTTGTAAAGGTAGGTGAAGTAGAAGGAGTTTGGCTAATAACTACCAAATAAGAATTAGATTGAAGTAATAAGTTCCTGATGTTACACAGCAAGGTTAGGAGACCACAATTCACAATAACCGAATATATATTTTATGATCAAATCCAATCATAAAGTAATGTCAAAGAAATGGAAATGTATCACCCTGTTTTGATCAGCACACATAGTATACATGCATTGAAATGTCATGCTGTAACTCATAAGTAAATACAATTAGTTATTTTTTCTAAGTTTTTAGATTTGATCTATGAGCTATTTAGAGGTGTGTTGTGTAATCTTTAAGCATACGGATATTTTCTAATTATAGTTATTGATTTATAATTTAATATCAAAAACATACTCTGCACAGTGTCAACCATTAAAAAATTGACAAACTCACAGATAGCATCATATTGAGTGGGAAAAAGTTGGAAGCATTTCCACTAAGTTCTGAAACCTGACAAGGATGTCCACTCTCACTATTACTATTCAATATAGTCTAGAAGTTTTAGCCAGAGCCATTAGGCAAGAAAAAGAAATCAAAGAGATACAAATTGGAAAGAAGGAAGTCAAATTATCCCTTTTTGCAGATGACATGATTCTATATATAGGGGAGTGAAAAGATTCCACCAAGAGACTATTGGAATACTTAAAAGTTTGGTAAAGTTGCAGGATATAAAATTAACACACAAAGATCAGTAGCTTTTATACACACAAATAATACAGTGACTGAGGAAGAACTTGTAAGATCAGATCCAGGCACAATAGCTCCAGAAAATTTAAATGCCTTGGAATAAATTTAGCCAAGGAAATGAAATATCTCTATGATGTAAATTACAAAACATTAAAGAAAGAAATAGAAGACCCAAAAAAGTGGAAAAAGTTTCCATGTTCATAGATTGGAAGAATATCAAAATTTTCATACTACCTGAAGCCATTTACAGATTCAAGTAAATCCCAGTCAAAATGCCAAGAACATTCCTCTCAGATCTAGAAAAAATGATGCTAAAATTCATATGGAATCACAGGAGACCCCCAAAAGCTAAAACAATTTTTTTAACAAAAATAAAATTGGAGGCAACACAATACTAGATTTCAAGACATACTACAGGGCAGTTATAATCAAAACAGCCTGGTGTTGGCTCATAAATAATGTAGACCAGTGGAACAGAATGGAAACCCTAGATATTAATCCATGTATCTGCAACCAGCTAATCTTTGACAAACAAGCTAAAATCAATTCCTGGAGCGATGACAGTTTCTTCAACAAATGGTTTTGGGAAAATTGGATCTCTGTGTGCAGAAATATAAAACAAGAACTCTACCTTATACCTTATGTCAAAATCAACTCAAAATCTATCAAGGATCTTAATCCATGACCTGATACCATTGAATTACTAGAGGAAAACTTTGGGGAAAGTCTGTTAAACATTGGTATAGGCAAAGACTACTTGGAAAAGACCCCAAAAGCACAAACAATCAAAGCAAAAATAGACAAATGGGATTATGCAAGTTAAGATGCTTTTGTGCTACAAAGGAGACACTCAACAAAGTGAAGAGGCAACTGACAGAATGGGAGAATTTATTTGCAAACTATGCAACTGATAAAGGATTAATATCTAGAATCTAGAAAGAGCTCAAGAAACTCAATAACAACAAAACAAGCAATCCAGTTAAAAAATGGGCAAAGCACTTGAACTGGCATTTTTTTTCAAAAGAGGAAATTCAAATGGCCAACAGATGTGAAAAAATGTTCAGGATCACTAGCCATCAGATAAATCTAAATCAAAATCACAGTGAGATTTCACCTCACCCCAGTTAGAATGGCTCTCATACAGAAATCAACAAATAATACTGACAAGGATTCCACTGTTGGTGGGAATATAAACTAATACAGCCATTATGGAAGACAGTATAGAGATTTCTCCTGAAAATAGATCTACTAAATGCCCTACCAATCCCACCCCTAGGAATGTACCCAAACAAAATGAAATCAACATATGAAAGAGTTATCTGTACCCCTATGTTTATTGTAGCTCAATTCATAATACCTAAGATATGGAATCATCCCAGATGCTTATTGACTGATGACTGGATGAAAAAAAAGTAGTATATGCACACTATAAAATACTATTCAGCCATAAAAAGAATGAAATCTTGTCTTTTGCAACAAAATGGATGCAACTGAAAACCAATTGTGTTTAGTAAAATAAGTCAGTCCCAAAAAGAGAAATATCATATGCTTTCTTTGGTATGTGGCAGTTAATATAGGATACAAAAAAAAAGGGTAGGAATGAAATGGACCTCTTATGTTGTTGTTAGCCCTTGTTTATACTTCTGTGGAACTATAGTCTTCCTACTTTTTACTTGTTGACTATTATGGTTTATGGTGAATTAAGCCTGTGATTATAGAGCTGATTGAAAGCATGTTTTTGCAATAATTAAAGAAGGAAGGAGGACAGATGAGGGAGTGAGGGGAGAGGGATGTATGCTTATCTTCTTAGAACTGTACCTATGAAATATATGAAATCTGTTCTCTTTACATCAATAAAAATAGAAAAAGTTATGATTTGTTCTATGGCTTACATGGTTTATGTCATTGACATTTCAGGTACATTTGAGAAAAATGTGTATTATGCCACTATTGCATGTTATGTTAAAATAAATATCTGTTAGGTCATAAAAAGAGGGGCCCATTGACACATAGACTACTACAGGTGGCCGGTGCTGCGGCTCACTAGGCTAATCCTCCACCTTGTGGCGCCGGCACACTGGGTTCTAGTCCCGGTCGGGGCGCTGGATTCTGTCCCGGTTGCCCCTCTTCCAGGCCAGCTCTCTGCTGTGGTCAGGTAGTGCAGTGGAGGATGGCCCAAGTGCTTGGGCCCTGCACCCCATGGGAGACCAGGAGAAGTACCTAGCTCCTGCCATCGGATCAGCGCGGTGCGCCGGCCGCAGCGTGCCGGCCGCGGCGGACATTGGAGGGTGAACCAATGGCAAAGGAAGACCTTTCTCTCTGTCTCTCTCTCTCACTGTCCACTTTGCCTTTCAAAAAAGAAAAAAAAAGAATACTACAGGTGTTCCAAGTCCCCTGTTAATGAAATCACACAATGAAAGGATATTTGTATTCTGAACACCTGATTCCTAATTCTGAGTATCCTTAACAGAAAACCCTATGTGTACATAATATACAGTATAGGAAATAAATATTTTAAGGTGTGCCAAGCTGTATTATATAATGAACATAACCTCCAAACCTAAAGACAGCTTAAGAGAACTAAAGTTTATTTATTTATTTTTTGGTTTAAACAACATAAATTTATTTCTTTCAGTTCTAGAAAGTTAAAGTTCCAAGGTCAAGGCGCCAGTCAGCATGGTTCCTGGTGAAAGCTCTTCCTGGTTTGCAGCTGAGAACTTCCTGCTGTGTCCTCACAGAGAGAGTTTTCTCTCTCAAGTCTCTTACTACAAGGACATCAATCCCATTCTCAAGGGTTCCACCCTCCTGACTTAGTCACATTAATAATCCGGGAAGAGTTAGCAATTGATGGCTGATCTTGACCAAGGATTCTATTCTAGAAACTAGGCAAGTGAGAATTTTCCTTACATGTTTTTTAACAGTCAAGTGCTATGGCTTATTTTGTGAGAGGAATAACTTGGAGAACTCTGAGGAGTCAAAGTAGATCATTCCAAGTGCAGCAAGTATCGGGGGATAAGACCTAGAAGTCAGTCTCTGACTTTTTCTCAGAAACTTGATGAAGACATATAGAAAAAATCAGAACAGCTGCTCTCTTCCATTGATACTAAAACAACACAGAGGCTGAGATTATACCACCAGACACTGAAGTAAGAAATTAGGGGCTTTCTGAATGATACCAAAGTTACACCTGTTGGTAATGCCAGATGAGAAATTTTTTTCAGTAACTTCTCCACTTACCTTTTTAGAAAAAAGTTCTTGGTAATGTGTTAGCTTTGTAGACCCACCTGTCTCCCTGTGTTGGTTCCTCTACTTCTAGTTATATTGAATTTAGATAAAATTACTTTAGATTGTCCAGTATCAATTTTTCAAAATGTAAATTGTAAAATGCTGTAACATCTAAAAGGGATAATACGAACAGCATCTGGTATGTAGGTGCTAAATAAAAATTACTTGCCTTGCCATCTTTGGGGAAGATACGTTTGAAGTAATTGAGAAGAAATGAACCAGATCAGTGACTGGGAAACCTAGTTACACACTGAAATTATGTGAGGACCTTAAAGACTAAGGAACTGCTGAATGGGAATCTTTGAGGTTACGCCTGGAAACCTACACTTTTTAGAAGATTCAGATAATTCTGATGCCCACCTAAGTCAATAAACTACACGAATTCTTAGCATTATTTCTATTCTGTTATTTCCTATAGTCATGTTAAGGTCAGTTTACTTGGATAATTAATATTAACCAGTGTTCAGAATAATCCACTCATAGTTTATAAATGCTTGTGGGCTGGATCATAGAAGATACTTGCATTGCTTTGATCACATCTAATTTCTGCAAGCACTGAAAAGGCAGCATTGTGGCACAGCAGTGTAAGCTGCCACTTAGAATGCCTGCATCCCACACTGAATTCAAGTCCTGGCTGCTTAGCTTCTGATCCAGCTTCCTGCTAATGCCCCTGAAAGGCAACAGAACTTGCCACCCATGTGAAAAGCCAGGATGGAGTTCTTGACTCCTGGCTTCAGCCTGGCCCAGACCTATCTGTGTGGACATTTGGGGAGTGAACAAGCAAATGAACCCTCTGTTCCTCTGTGCCTCTCTCTCTTGCTCTGCCTTTCAAATGAATAAATGAATCTTTAAAAAATTATATGTGATAAACTCATTCCACAAATATTTAGCACCTACTATATGCTACACATAGCATTACATGCTTCTAATCAGTTAAACAGGCAAAAATTCTTGCTTTTGTGAAACTTAGTAAATATAATCTTGTTGGGGTATTTCTAGGAACTGAGCAATTAAACCTTTGCTGCAACTATAATTGAAACTTAGTAGTAAGTAAACAGGAAGTTTACTACTATACATATTCACTTACTTTTTTCTCATTTTTGTTACATTATGAAAAATTTCAAGTACTTTACCTTCCTACCTACAGGACTGTTCCAGGTACTTCACTTCGCTGCCCATGTTTGTTATTCTCAGTAACTGTAACTGTTCAGGTGAGTGTGTAATTGTATCTCATTGTGGTTTTAATATGCGTTTGTTTGATGACACATAATGTGGAGCACTTTTTTGTGTACACGTTTGTGTGTGTGTGGTTTTGGCTCTTCGTTTTTTAAAAATTTATTTAATTTGTAGGCAGAAAGAAAGGGAAGCACACACACACATGCACACACACACGCACATGCACACACAGATTGCCCACCTGATGGCACTCCCCAGATACCCACAACAGCCAGAACTGGGCCTGTGGGTGATAGGAACCCAAGTATTTGAGTTGGGGTTCAAACCAGGCACTCCAATAGAGGAAATGGGCATCCAAGTGGCAACATAACACCACTGTACCACAAGACCCTCACCAAACACTTTAAATCTTTTGCCCCTATTTTTAATTGGATTTTTTGCCTTTCTGCTGTTCAGTTATCACAGTTCTTTATTTATCCTCCTATCTGAGAAATATGATTTGTCAGTGTTTCCTCCACCTTTGTGACTTGTCTCTTAGTTTTCCTTTTTTTTTTAAGATTTATTTCTTTATGTGAAAGGCAGAAATACAGAGAGAGAAGAGGAGAGAGAATGTTCTGTTCACTAGTTCACACCCTAAATGGCTACAATGGCCAGGGCTGGGCCAGGCTGAAGCCAGGGGCCAGGAGCTTCACCTAGTCTCCCACCTGGGTGCAGGGGCCCCAGGAATTGAGCCATCTTCTGCTGCTTTCTAGGCACATTAGCAGGGAGCTGGATCAGAAGTGGAGTAGCCGGGATTCAAACTGGTGCCCACATGGGATGCCAATGCTGCAGGGGAGGCTTTACCTGCTATGTCACAACACTGGCCCCTTACTTTTTTTAATGATGTCTTCTGATTTGTAGATATGTACAGTTTTGATTAAGTCTAATTTATCCTCCTCCCCCCTGCCCATGCTATTGCTTTGTGACCTATGAATTCTTGCCTACCCTAGATCATGGACATATTCTCCTTTGCTTCCCACTAAAAATTTTATTGGTTAGAATATTCATTTTCACTAATTTTCTTTAAGATTGATTTATTTATTCAAAAAGCAGAATGACCAAGACAGAGAGAGAGAGAGAGATCTTCATCTGCTGTTTCACTCTCCAAATGGATGCATTGGCTGGGTCTGGCCCAGTCCAAAGCCAGAAGCCCAGAGCTCCATTTGGTCTTCCACATGTGTAGCAGAGGCTCAAGTATTTGGGCTATCTTTTCCTTCCTTCCCAAATGCATTAGCAGGGAGCTAGATCAGAAGTGAAGAAACTAGGACTTGAACCATTGTTTGGTTTGGGATGCCGACATTGCAAGCAGTAGCTTAGCTCACTGTGCCACAATGCTGGTCCCAATTCTCACAATTTTGTTGAGAACTGATCTTCTAAATAATGTCAAATACTATCCATTTAAAATTATTTATATATAAATAAATGGAATTTACTCAGGTTATAAGAATCCAGTTATGGCATCTTTCCTAAGAAAATAGGTACAAGTAGGGAATTATGGAAGCTATCAGACTATCTTCTGTATTCATGGTATGCCTTTAGTATATAGTTTCAGAATATTCTCTAAAAGAGTGTCTGATTAAAGAAGTGCTTTACATCTGCATTTATTCAGGTGAAGGAATATGCTGTCCCATGCATTTCTGCATAACCGTGAGTGGGAAGAGAGAGGAAGGTGCCCATCCCCTGTGGTTTGGTGTCTTCACACGGGGCATTTGGAAGGAGAGGGGGTAGAAAGTACATGCTTGGTTGCCTTACCTCCTCACGCGCCCAGCTGTCCTCATGCTGTTCTCTTCCAAGTCCCGCACCTTCAGGCCTGACCCTTATTCGGTGACTCTGGCCACGCTCCTTCCGGCAAAGGTTCTAATGGGTGCTCCTTTAAAAGGTTTGAATCACAGCTGTTGCATTGTGGAGGAATCTTGACACACTGATCGATGAGCAGGCCATCGGATATTCTACCCAACAGGGCAGCGGCTCATTTAAACTCTCACATAACATTTGCTCTGAAAATGGATTTTCTGAATCTTTCCACGTAAATAACTGAGGGTTAACTTTTACTGAAGCCGACAAAGTGGCAGCCAAGCACAGCGTGTAACCCCAGAGTGCTGGGCAGAGGCACCTTGTCACTCTTGTGCCTTAATTTCCTGCACCTTGCATCCTGTGAAATTCTAAATTATTCACCTTTTAACATCCGGGAATGCTAAGTGCACATGGGCATTTATTCACCTTGTTTGAGGAGTATACTGAAGTAGGGGAAGTATATATTTGGAGAAGCAAAGTGTACTCCTGTAAAGGATTTTACTGGCACATTTGAAAAGTTGTCTTGACTTAGACAAACCACAGGATACCAATGTTAGTGTTTTTATGTAATCCTTTTAGTGATAGCATTCCATGTTGTGATGCCTCCTCCAAGGGCTCTCTTTTATAAACTTAAGAAAGTTTCTAATATAAAGGTTATATCATCAACGAATGCTAGTTTGAAAGAACCAAATAGGATTGTGAAGATTACCCTTTCTTAACAATGCCTTAAATTTTTATCTCCTTATCCATTCCCTATTGCTTTCTTTCTCAAGACATTATGGTTTATTGTGTCTCTACCAGGTACCTTGCATGTGATTTACACAGTGAATGGTCCTGCTTTTGGAGCCAGTTAATGATATAATATCCCCATTTATATTCAGAGCAGTCAACACTCTCTAGCTCTCAGAATAATAAAAGCACCTGCATTTAATATACATGGAAGAATGGGAAGGCAAATAGCAGATAAGGCACAATCAGGTAAGTGTAATCAGATAAAATATCACAATATTATAGTAGATCAGCATCTGGTAATGACTTGAATTTTGAAAGACTGACAAACAGCATGGCCTAAAGCAGCCAGGCATACCTCATTCAGAGCATCTCTTCCCAGAGCTGATTGCTCCTCTTAGGTGTTTTCTGGCAGATTAAGCAGGTAGGGTTTCTTATTTTAACTCTTCTAGAACTACATTGTGCTGCTGGAAAAACACTGGCAGCATTCTTTTGAGCTCAGATCAGAAACAAAAACAAATGACGTATCTAAGAATAAAGCCTTGCATCTCCCAACAGTTATCTCAAATTGATCCAAATCAACATTATTAAAAACAAATCTTTCAGTACTAGGCAGAGCTTTCATCTCCATTTCTATATTTATTTGCCTAGCATTGATGTTTTATTCTTATTTTTTTAAGGAGCAGGGGAAAACAGTTTGGTTATTAGAAACTGATTTTTCTCTGAGAGCATCCATGGTTCTTAGCATTGGCATCTGGTAAGCCTAGCTGTGTATCTGAGCTTTGTAGAAACCCTACTGTAAGAGAGACAAATAGAAAGCTTCACATTTGCAAAAGCCAGCACTAACTAAACTGGTTTGTGGAGAGCGTTTTCACAATTGTCTTTTTCTTTTAAGTTTACTCTTTGTTGGAGGCCAGTGATCTCTTCAGTTAACTCACCCATGCTTAACAGATGCTGTGGAGGCATTGGGAGTGCAAGGCATAAGGAAGCCCGTAGCATGGCATGAAGAAGCGTGTAGAGACTGTAGCAGACATACGTCAGGCCACAGTCTGCCTCAGGGTTGGCCTGTGTCCTTTGCAAAGGATCAGCACTTTGCAAAGTGCCTTTGCTCTCATTTGCTACAATCAGAGCAGGACATTGTGTGTGCAAACAATTGAATAGATAGCTCCATCTTCTGAGAAGGGCTGTGTTCACTCTCTTCTTCCTCACCTTGTTTGCTTTTGTTTGCTGTTCTAAGGGTGCGGTCCTGGACATTGACCAAGCAGTGGTAAATTAAGCTTTCATGGCTGACGCTGTGGGTCACTAGGCTAATCCTCCGCCTTGCGGTGCTGGCACACCGAGTTCTAGTCCCGGTCGGGGTGCCGGATTCTGTCCCGGTTGCCCCCCTTCCAGGCCAGCTCTCTGCTATGGCCCGGGAGTGCAGTGGAGGATGGCCCAAGTGCTTGGGCCCTGCACCCCATGGGAGACCAGGAGAAGTACCTGGCTCCTGCCTTCGGATCAGTGCGGTGTGCCGGCTGCAGTGCGCCAGCCGCGGTGGCCATTGGAGGGTGAACCAACAGCAAAGGAAGACCTTTCTCTCTGTCTCTCTCTCACTGTCCACTCTGCCTGTCAAAAAATAAAAAAAAAATAAAAAATAAAAAAATTAAGCTTTCATAAATATGAGAATGAATGAGATGAAGTAGCCTTCCATTGTATTTAGAACTAACTACTCTGTTTATGTGAAAAAATTCTCAAAATATCTGTCTCTCCACTTATCCTAACTCAGGCTGCCATAATATGATACATAATCTGGGTGGCTTAAACAACAGAAATTTATTTTCTCACAGTTCTGGAGGCTCAAAGTCCAAGTTCAGGTTGCCATTGTGCTCAGATTTTTGCAAGGGCTCTCTTCCCAGCTTGCAGACAGCTGTCATCTGGCTGTGTGCTTATACGACCTCCTCTTTGCCTGCATTAAATACAGGGACAGAGAGAGCAAGCCTGCTCTTTTATATAATAATACCGATCCCACCATGAGCCCCCCCTCCCCGACCCATGACCTCAACTAAACCTAATTACCTTCCAAAGTTCCCGTCTCCAGTACCATTGCATTGGGAATTAAGACTTCAATAAGTGTATTTGGGAGGATGTGATTCAGTCGGTAGAATCACCCAGTTTTGTTATTGTAGCAAAGTTACTAAGTCTGAGACAAAGAGAACCATTGTCTGTTCAAAAGAGGTCGACTTGAGGAGTATTAGTAGTCCTGAAGGAAGCAAGTATCAGTTGATATAGCAGTGTTCCTCATTCCTTCTCACACACACACAAAACCACACTCTTTTCCCTGTCACACTCACTTTTGATGTTTAGAGAAGAGTTCAGTTATAAGAGGAACTGATTGCATCAGGAAGTACATGGAAAAATAATAATTTCAGGATATTTGTGTTAATAGGCTGTTGTACTTTATTTTTTCCTGATTTTTATTTATTTATTTGAGGAGAGAGAAAAGAGATGAGAGAGAGAAAGAATGCTCCGATCTGCAGGTTTAGTTCCCAAATGTGTACAAAAGGTGGGGCTGGCTGGGTCAAAGCTGGAATTCAATCCAGGTCTACCATGGGAGTGGCAGGAACCCAGTCTCTTGAGCCATCACTATTGCCTCCTGAGTCTGTGTTGGTAGGAAGCTGGAGTTGTGAGCTGGTACCAGGTATGAAGTCCAGGTACTCAGAGATGTGTGGGCATCTGAACCTGCAGGCTAAGTATCTGTTCCTATTTTGAAGTAACATGGACTGACCATGTATTTTAGAACTCTCAAGGGAGCTTCATTCACTCAAGAATTTTTTAATTATATTCTGAGTTCCAAGGTTGAATAAAGAATATATATTCAGATTTCTAGTGGTATGAGTAGAAAGAAGAATCATGTGGGAGAATCTTGAGTTAATGACAACACCCTACTTGTGGAGTGTTCCATTTTGAATGATGTTTTCTTTCATGTAATTCATCACTGAATGTTAGAAGAGGTGGGTAGGCTGAGATTTACATCTTACAACTGAAATTTACATCTGGGTTGTTATATTTAAACATGGATTACACAATACTGAAATTTGAAAATGCCTCCTCCAACAGCTTTTTTTGTTTTGTTTTATATTTTAGTTGTAGCTTCAGAGGAACAGTCAGAGCAGCTTGTTATTATCTTAATTGTCATTTTGTGAGTCTGGGCCAAGAAGAGCTAAACCGGCCATGTTAAAAAAAAAAAAAGGGTGTATCACCATCTGATTTACTATAGGCACTTTAGATAAAGCACAGTCAAGGCTATTTCAGCTTCCAAGTTGAAAACATTTTGGCTTCTGCTTGAAGCCACATTAAGAACTATTTCATAAATAGTGATGTTGATAATGTAATCAGCCAGCTTATTTTCTGATTCCATCTGTGTTCCTGTCCCTTTCATTAGAGCCCTCTTCTTAGAGGTCTGGGCTACTATAAGAAATAGTACTATAGCTATCTGAAGCAGTGTTTCTGCATTGATTTGTCCTTAGTGTTTAGATACAGACTGTGCTATTGTAATTGGATGTGAAGCACAACCCTGCTAACTTAAACCTGTTGCTTTTTCATTTTGTCACCACCATCCCAATTGGGGCAGATAGAGTACTGATTTCTTAGAAATAATAGTGGGAAATGGAGTGAGGAGACTAAAAAACTGGGGAGACATGCAGGTATGATCCCACTCATACCCTCCCCCCCTTTTTAAGGTCTATTTATTTGAAGGATGGGGGTGGGGGCAGAGAGAAATCTTCCTTCTGCTAGTGCGCTCCCAAAATTGCTGCAATGGCCAGGACAAATCCAGGAATTTCTTCTGGGTCCCCCAAATGGGTGCAGGGGCCAACTACTTGGGCCATCTTCTGCTGCTTTCTCAGGTGCATTAACAGGGAGCTGGATAGGAAGAGGAGCAGCCAGGAGTTGAACTAGTGTCCCTATGGGGTGCTGGTGCTGCAGGTGATGGTTTAACCCACCGTGCCACAGCACCAGCCTCATCTCACACAACCTTAAAGTATATTTCCTTCTTACTCACTGAACATGCCATTCTTCTTCACTGTATATACTTTGAGTTGCAGATTTTAAGAGACAAACAAAACAATACTTCTTAGTTGCCTTTCAATTATATTTGTGTCCTATATCTGACCAAGGGAAGTACCTGTGCTGACCTTTTTGTTAAATGTACCCTCGTCCCATCCCAACCCCAAGTCTCAGTGTGATGCATTTCAAGCTTCTGGAATGAGGTAAATTAGATATTCATGTGTGTCCATTCCTGCTTCCTGTTCTTAGGAAGTTATTTACCTTTGTGTTTCAACTTTTCTTCTCTTGAGAGCATGAACATTCCATATCAGACCATTTATATTAATTTTTTGCATTGCAAAATAGACATTTTAGTTCTCTCTGGCCTCTCCATAATGTCTAAACCAGAGTTGCTAATGGTCACTGCTACCAGAAAGTTGTGAATTTCCAAGAGACTTGGGGTGAGGCTGCCGGTGCCAAGAGCCTCCACATGAGCCAGGAAGACAGCTCTTCTAAGTACACTGTGCAGATGCTGCTTACGATCGCAGGTGCCCCGAGCCCAGAGACTGGTGGCCTGAGAAGTTGGCCTTGGGCCTTGTTGGCCTTGCTATAGGACCAGTGAACTAAAATAATAAATGAAATAAACTAAATTTATAAAGGAAGCATATTACTTTTATTCCAGCTTTAAGAATCTACTGATTTCTCAGCTAAACCCTGTGAATGTTTATCAGATAATTTTATCATCGTATGATGGGGGCACAACAATTGTTCAATAAATTATTGCTATAAAAACATAATAAAATGCATAAGTAGATTTCTAAGGAACAAGTGTGCTTAGCTGGAGATGAAAAACTGTTAAATATCAACATTGATTAGTGAAGAAAAACCACCTGAAAAAGTAACTAGGGTGAATAATGAGTGCTTTGATTAACATATTCTACAAATCTATCAAGACTATGGCTCGGCATGTCCTTGTTCCTCTCCAAAATTAATAATGACAGATTCCAAGACCCTATTAATATTTTAATAGTCTAATAAGCACTGGCAAGCATGCAGCAGAGAAGAATGTAAATCAGTGGTCAGAGCTGCCAGACTCTCAGGAGAGTGGGCCAGGTGGGTGAGCTATGGTCTCATAATGCTTGCTTAAATTCTTCCTGATTTTTTCTCATACCTACACTCAGTTTCAGCAATGGTACTCATTTTGAAGAGGAAGATGTGCTAGTAAAAGATAAAATCCATAGAATATTTAGGATTCTTTATGCCCACCATGTATCTTTAAAAAATACTGATGTTCATGTCAGTGTGTGTCCTTAAATGGTCTGAAAAATAGTAGAAATTTGTATGAAGAATATATAACTAGGAGTGTGAAGAAATACATCTTCCTTGATTTTAACATAGGAAGTCTCCTTGCTCTAATTATCTCCAAATTCATCCTCAACAGAAATTATGTAGTGTGTATAGACGACTATGAGGTACTTCAATGAATAAAACTGGATGGAAGAAGGAACAAAAAACAGTAAGTAACACATGTAAAGCACTTCGGGTGGTTCCTAGAACAAAGCAGATTCTCAGCAATGTTAGCTTCTTGCTCTTTATTCCTTCCGAGAGGCCACCTCTGCCGGGAACTTTACTTCGCCTTCCTGTGCGGCGTAGGATATGTTTTGTTGCTCTCATGAAACTGTCCCCAGAGTAGAATTTGGAGTTTGTGATGTATTGATAGCTGCCTCCTGTAACAATGTGAGAGCAGTAGAGGCTGTTCCTCAGAGGAGCAGGCTCTGCTTCTTGGGGACCACCAATGGGTGCTCTGATTTTGTTTGTTTGCTTAGATTTTATTTATTTGACCAGGAGAGAGAGTGAGTGAGAGAGTCAGCTTCCATTGCTGGTTCACTCCCCAGATGCCCACAATGGCTAGAGCTAGGCTAGGAACCTGAAACTCCATATGGTCTCCCACTTGGACTGCCTATTTCAATAGTGGCTTAACTTGCTGTGCCACAATGCTGTCCCCTCATTGGGTGGTCTTGAAGGATCATTTATCCACACAGGATTAGGGAAACCACACTGTAGAGACAAAGACTTTTTCAGTTGGGAAATTTTTTCTGTTGCTATTTTGCTGAGTAAATCCAAGCCATTCTATTTTTCTATACCTTCAGGAACTACTAAGATGTATATTTTGGTCCTTTGGTGCTATCCCCTGTATGTTGAACATTGTTTTCAGTTTTTCAAATTTTTTCTTCTTCTTTTCTTTTTGTCTGTCTGAGTTATTTCCAAAGATTTCTCTTCTACTGCAGATATTTTTTCTTTTGCCTCATTGAGTCTGTTCAGGCTTTCCACTGTATTTTTTATTTTACACATTGAATTCTTCATTTCTAATATTTCTGCTTGATTTTTCTTTAGTATCTTTATCTCCTGGTAGAAGTTTTTGGCCATGTCATGTGTGGATTTCTTTAAATCATGTATTTTATTCTCTGTGTTTTTGAGTAAATTTATGATCATCCTTTTAAATTCCATTTCAGAGATTTCATCAGCCTCTTTGTCTTCACATTCTAATTCTGCAATGCAGTATTCCTTTTTAGGGAGTCATATATTGTCTTCCTTGTTCATTTCTCTTGCATTTTTACATTTTTTATGCCTTTGTGAAAGCACTTGTTGGTTTTTCCTCTGAGGGTTTTGTTCTTTGAATTGTGCTTCTATGGCTTACTGGAATGCCTGCTCCTTCAGTGGATATCCAAAGGTGTTTTTCCCATTGCTCAAGGGTGGAGCAAGAATCCCAAATGGCACCAAGGTTGGGCATGGTAGATCTCTATCATCAGCACAGGGCAACGTATGATCTTACTGCATTGCATGTTCACAGCCTCACCCCCCTGCCAAGCTGAACCACCTGCCCAGGGTGAGCGCACAGTGCCTGCACACCCCGCCCACTCAGGTACATGAACCACACAAAGGATCTACGTGCTACTCAGTGTGATTGTGGAGTTCTGCATGAGGATCCTCCCTAGCACTCAGGGAATTCTGAGTGTCTGGAGCCAGACCCAGTGATTACCCATAGATCCAGCAACACCTTATGTTCTATTACACAGTCACTGGATTCCCACAGCCACAGGGTTTAGGACTTCCACAGTATCAGGGAACAGGGATCCATTCTGTGCCCTACAAGCCTCTTTTTCCGGAGAGAGAGCCACCCCGTTCCTGAAGGCAGCTGCCAGTCTGAAAGAGGTTGGTTGGTACTCTGCTTTGGCAGCTGAGTCTGCTGCCTTGGTGGGTGAGGCGAGGGGAACAGTATGCCCCCGCTTCACGGAACTGAGTGGGTACCCTGCCCCCTGCCAACTCTCTAGGCTGAACTCAAAGATGATGGGGACACTGAATTTATCCCTCTGACAAAATCCATCAGTGGTGTGTGGACTGCTGCAGTCTCCATTTGCCTTATTAAGATGGTGCTTCCTCCCTGGTGGTCTCCAGGTACCTTGATCCCAGGGAGAAGAGAGGAAATCAGTGTGCCTCCCCTTCATGAGTTTAGGTGGGCACCCTGCCCCACACCAGTGCTTTTGGCCATTTCAAAGTCAGGGGGAACTGCAAGGTTCTCCCTCAGACAGCATCACCAGTGGTACACAGGCTGCTGCCGGTGCCTGTTACCTCACTCTGAGAAGATGGCATCCCCAGCAGAGTCGTGCTAGCTGCTCCGTGATTGTAACCCCTGCTCCATGGAGTCTCTCTTCTTTCTGAAGACTTTCCACTGAAAATTTTTGTCCAGCTTTCCACTGGGAACGTGGTTCCTCCCCTGTTCCGGTATCTTCCTGTGGTCAAAATCAACATGTCGTTCCCCTATTCAGCCATCAGGGATCTCCTGCTTTTCTCATCTTGCAGAATCGAGAGACAGGATAAGATAATCTTATATGAATTTCAGGTCATCCAAGCTCTGAAACTCTGTTCTCATAATAATCCCAGTAGTGAATTATCTGTTCTTTCCCCTAAAGTGCCATCTCTTTAGCACCAAGAGAAGGTGCTTGAACATCCGCATACCTGTTCAGATTTGGAGTCCTCTAGATACTTCTTTTCAGTGAAAATATGAAATCTATTATTTCATATAATTAGTCTGATATTCATTAGGACTCATTTCTGCTTTGAGGTGATGAAGCATCTGGTATCTGTAAGTGTCTATTTAGAAAAGTCACATTGCAGGAGAGGGCAACACCTTTATAATTGTATAGGATTATAGCCTTAGTGATGGACATAACAAAGTGCCCTGCAGATCTGTAACAAGACTGTGATCTGTCTATCCTGCCCCGGTATTGTACTAAACACCTTATAGTACATCTGTGCACAGCACTTTTATGGTGCTTAGATACCTGACCTAGTAATTTTTTTTATTAGATAGTAAACTTTCATGAAATCTCTTCCAACCAAAATAGGACCTGAAAACCATTCATGATGCTTAGAATACCTTGCAACTTGATGGGAAATTTTAGCTGTGGGAATAAATTACAGTTTTTTAAGTACTTTAGACAGTAGAGTATAATTGTAACTTTGATGGGGAAAAATGTAGGGCAATTTGGAGTGAGAGATGAAGACAAATAGAGACATGAGTTTTTTTTTTTTTTCAAAGATTTATTTATTTATTTGAAAGGCAGAGGCAGAAAGGCAGAGAGAGTGAGAGTGAGAGTGAGAGAGAGAGAGAGAGTGAGAGAGGTCTTCCATCCACTGGTTCACTCCCCAGTTGGCCGCAATGGCTGGAGCTGCGTCGATCTGAAGCCAGGAGCCAGGAGCCTCTTCTGGATCTCCCACGTGGGTGCAGGGGCCCAAGGACTTGGGCCATCTTCTACTGCCTTCCCAGACCATAGCAGAGAGCTAGATAGAAAGTGGAGCAGCTGGGACTTGAACCTGTGCCCGTATGGGATGCCAATACTGCAGGCAGTGGCTTTACCCGCTATGTCACAGCGCCGGCCTCAGTGACTTAAGATTTTATTAGACAACTTTATACAGTAGAAGAGGCCTATGAGAGCAGGAATCAACCTTGTAGTTTAGAGACTTGCATTGCTTCTTGGCTCCAGTTCCTGCAGCCAGCTTTCTGTCAGCACAGACCCTGGCCAGGCAGCGGAGATGACTCAAGTAACTGGGTTCCTGCCACCTCTGTGGGAGACCTGGATTATGCTTTCTGCTCCAGGATTCAACCCCAACCCTAACCGCTGTTGCCATTTGGGGAGTGAACCAATGGATGGAGCTCACTCTCTGCTTCTCAAATAAACGCAATATATTTTGAAAAGTGACCCATTGCTTTTCAGTAATCTGACTGACTCCTAGGGACTGTTCCAACTGAGTCGCTGTAGATTGTGCAGGTCAGTGCAACCATACCACATCCAAGCTTTCCTGCATTTCTCACATTCTGGCTCTAATTTCTCACATTGAGGAATTCTATGATTATCAATAACTGGATGCAGAATTAACAGTCTGGTCTACATTCTTGCCTAAATATTCCAAAATAAGACCCAAAGTCACACTGACTGTTTTACTCATTTTTTACTATAAACATCTATTACGATTCCACTCCCCTACCATTCAGCACAGACATGGAACTTCTTGTCTACATGGAGTTTCTGATGTTGGAAGTCAAGAGTTCAGAAGGAAGAGAGTACCAAAGTCAACAGATAGAGTGTCTCTCCAGGATATATTTTAGATACTTTCTTCTTAGTTTCCTACTTTCATGCTCATCTTCCCACTCCTCCAGTCCTGTAGCGTTTGCCTTGAAGCTACAGTGTAGTTTGAACATAGCATGGTATCGTCTGACTCTCCCTGTTTTCCCTAGTGCCCTCATCACCTCTCCCCATGGCCTGCCTGTGCTCGCAATGCAAGTCTTTAACCCTCTCCAGCTAGCCCTTCCCTCCATCCGGCCCAGCCGGCAAGATTTTAAGTCCTCATTGCATTTTACCTTAATTTCATGGATGAAAGCTGTAGTGCTCTAGGAGTCTTTGGTTCTTTCATCTTCAGGTCACCTGATTTTTTTGTATCTTCTCAGAATTGTCTCACTTTTATTATGATAATAGCAATAGGTACTGTTTTCTGAGTGTTTGCCATGTGCCACATATTGTGACAGACATTAAATTACATCACTAATCACTTATAGCTCTAATCCTCATTCCAATCCTTCAGGGTAGACATATTAAATTTAGAGATGAGAAAACTGATTCTCAGATTATTTAAATGTCCGACTCCAAAGCCACTGTGGTTTCCAGTGTCTCATCACAGCACTTCTGCCTATTTAGGGCCATATTTTATGTTTATTTATGTTTATTTTGTTCGTGTTAGCTTTTTTTAATTTCGGAAAAAAATGCATCACCAATAAGAAAAAACATTTCATCAAATTTTAGCACACATCAGTTTGTTGTTTTATTTTTCTCATGTACTTGTCTTCTCTTTGTTTACATTCACACATATTTTAAACAGTATTTTTAAAAGTATTTTAAGTAGTATGATGATAATGTGCATTTAGTCTTTATTCTAAAAATAATAATTCTGTATTTTGTTACTCTTTTCCCTTTTTTTTTTTTTTGGACAGGCAGAGTTAGACAGTGAGAGAGAGAGAGACAGAGAGAAAGGTCTTCCTTCCGTTGGTTCACCCCCAAAATGGCTGCTTCGGCCGGAGCTGTGCTGATCCAAAGCCAGGAGCCAGGTGCCTCCTCTGGTCTCCCAAGTGGGTGCAAGGCCTAAGGACCTGGGCCATCCTCCACTGCACTCCCAGGCCACAGCAGAGAGCTGGACTGGAAGAGGAGCAGCCGGGACAGAATCCAGCGCCCCGACCAGGACTAGAACCTCGGGTGCCAGCGCCACAGGCAGAGGATTAGCCAAGTGAGCTGCGGCGCCTGCCTCCCTGTTGTTTTAAAAGGTACATGCTTTTCATTAGTTTTTTTCATCAAATCTTCTTTTAAAAATGTGCTAGTGTGTAAATGAAAGATCTCCGCGAGTGAGATCCCAGTGGAAAGAACGGGTCATCAAAGAAGGAGGTACCTTTCTCTGAAGGGAGGAGAGAACTTCCACTTTGACCATGGCCTTGTCTAAATATGATCAGAGTCGGTGAACTTAGGGGGCTTCCATAGCCTTGGCAGCTCATGACAAGAGCCTCGGGTGATTACTGATGCCATAAACAAGAGTGTCAATTTGTTAAGTCAACAACAGGAGTCACTGTGCACTTACTCCTCATGTAGGATCTTTGTCCTTAGTGTGCTGTACATTGTGATTTAATGCTATAACTAGTACTCAAACAGTATTTTTCACTTTATGTTTCTGTGTGGGAGCAAACTGTTGAAATCTTTACTTAATGTATGCTCAACTGATCTTCTGTATATAAAGAGAATCGAAAATGAATCTTGATGTGAATGGAAGGGGAGAGGGAGTGGGAAAGGGGAGGGTTCCAGGTGGGAGGGACGTTATGGTGGGGAAGCCATTGTAATCCATAAGCTGTACTTTGGAAATTTAAATTCATTAAATAAAAGTTAAAAAAAATGTGCTAGTGTGGAAATTTAGATTATTTTCGTTTTGTGGTAATATGAATTATAATAATGATATGTATGCAACTTAAAAAGTTTAATGGTAGTACATAGGCATTTTAAAAACTTATTGTGGCGGCCGCGCCTGTGGAAAGCCGCGTCACCATGGGCCGTGTGATCCGTGGGCAGAGGAAGGGAGCGGGCTCCGTGTTCCGTGCGCACGTGAAGCACCGCAAGGGCGCCGCTCGCCTGCGTGCCGTGGACTTCACCGAGCGGCACGGCTACATCAAGGGTATCGTGAAGGACATCATCCACGACCCGGGGCGCGGCGCGCCCCTGGCCAAGGTGGTCTTCTGGGATCCGTACCGGTTTAAGAAGCGGACGGAGCTGTTCATGGCGGCCGAGGGCATCCACACGGGCCAGTTCGTGTACTGCGGCAAGAAGGCCCAGCTCAACATCGGCAATGTCCTCCCCGTGGGCACCATGCCCGAGGGGACGATCGTGTGCTGTCTGGAGGAGAAGCCTGGGGACCGAGGCAAGTTGGCCCGGGCATCCGGGAACTACGCCACCGTCATCTCCCACAACCCCGAGACCAAGAAGACCCGCGTGAAGCTGCTCTCAGGCTCCAAGAAAGTCATCTCTTCTGCCAACAGAGCTGTGGTCGGTGTGGTGGCTGGAGGTGGCCGCATTGACAAGCCCATTTTGAAGGCTGGCCGTGCCTACCACAAATATAAGGCAAAGAGGAACTGCTGGCCACGTGTGCGGGGTGTGGCCATGAATCCTGTGGAACATCCTTTTGGAGGTGGCAACCACCAGCATATAGGCAAACCCTCTACTATCCGCAGGGATGCCCCTGCTGGTCGCAAAGTGGGTCTCATCGCTGCCCGCAGGACAGGGCGCCTCCGTGGAACCAAGACTGTACAGGAGAAAGAGAACTAGGGGTGACGGGCTCAATAAAGTTTGCCCTTCTACCAAAAAAAAAAAAAACAAAAACCCTTATTGTGGAAATATTGTAATGTTTGCTTGGGATTAGAAGGAACCAATGTGTACTTACTACTCAACTTCAATAATGATCATTTTGCCCACCTTATTTCATTGAATATCCCAGTTTTTTCTTGAGAACAGTGCACAAAATTTCAGATGTCTTACTATTTCACTTTTAAGCCCTTTATGATAGACTAGTAATGGATAAGGACTTTTTCCTAAGATAATTTAATGCTCTGTGATATCCATCTAAGGTCTACATTTAAATTTCTTTATTAAAAGAGTGGATTTTCACATTTGGCTTGTACAAATTACAATCTAAATGTGGTCCACACATTGCAGTTAATAGTTATTTCATTAAAGCTTCATTCATTCCGAAGGGCACACACACACACATTGTTTATACCATCAATTTGTTGGAGAAACAAGGTTACAAATCTGACAGAATGTTCCACATTCTGAGGTTGTTTTCTCTCTCTCTCTCTTTTTTTTTATTTGACAGAGTTAGACAGTGAGATGAGAGAGAGAGAGAGAAAGGTCTTCCTTCCATTGGTTCACCCCCCAAATGGTTGCTATGGCCGGAGCCATGCCGAACTGAAGCCAGGAGCCAGGTGCTTCCTCTCGGTCTCCCATGTGGGTACAAGGGCCCAAGGACTTGGGCCATCTTCTACTGCCTTCCTAGGCCACTGAAGAGAGCCAGACTGGAAGAGGAGCAACTGGGACTAGAACCGGGTGCCCATAGAGGATGCCAACGCCGCAGGTGGAAGATCAACTGAGTGAGCCACAGTGCCGGCCCTGAGGTTGTTTTCTCAAGATATCATTCTGCTGGTTTCTACATCTTTAGTATTTGTTTTATTTGTTTGTTTACTTATGTTTGAGAGGCAGAGAGACTGAAAGAGGGAGAGAGAGAGAGAGCAAGCAAGTAAGCGAGCATGTGCTAGAGAGGGTGCTCCCATTTGCTGGGCCACTCCCCAGTACCCACAGCAGATAGCGTTGAGCCAAGGCTTATGCTGGAAGCTGCAAATGCAGTACAGGGTTCCCCTGTGAGTGGCAGGAACCTCCCTGCTTACACCATTACTGCTGCCTCCCAGGGACTGCATTGTCAGGAAACTGGAGTCTGGAGCAGGGCCAGGGAATTGAGCCAAGGAATATCGATGTGAGGGGCATCTTAACCACCAGCCTAAATGCAAGCTCCTATGGTGTTTGTTTTAATTTAATTTTGGCTGTATTTGTAATCCAGACCTTTTTTGACTTGGAATCAAATTTAGTATTTTTCTGACAACATTTTAGGAGATCATTGTTCTTCTAGACAATGTCTTTTTAAATATATATATATATATATATATATTTGAAAGGCAGAGTTACAGAGAGAGGGGGACAACTTTCATCTGCGGATTCACTCCCCAAATGGCTGCAATAGCCTGGCCTGGGCCATGCCAAAGCCAGGAGCCTGGCATTCCATCCAGGGCTCCCACATGGATGCAGGGGCCCAAGGATTTGGGCCATCTTCTGCTACTTGTCCAGGCTTGTTAGCAGGTATTGGAAGTGGAGCAGCCAGGACTTGAACTGGCACACATGCGGGATGTCATCATTGCAGACAGCAGCTTAACCAACTATGCCACAATACCAGCCCCTTGACAACCTCTTCTGTAGGCAATTTTCTCAAACTAAAAGCCCATTTGTGTTATAGATGCATGTAATTGAATCCCTGCTGATACCAAGTAGTTTCCTTCTAGCACCTTCCAATACTGGTAGAAAACTAGACATTGACTGAAATAATTTTGAAAGCTATTTGAAGAATAAAAGAAACTTGGATTTGATTTGACAGAGCAATGATTGAGAATTGAAGAAGAACACCCCCAACCTTCACCATCAAATATTCTGGTTTGTAGATTGGATTCAAGTGAAGAAGATGTGACATGACTGTTGTATGCTGTCCTTACAGGTCAGGGGAGGGCTGAGACATAAGCTTGTTTTCTGCTTCTGTGTTTTTTTTGAGCTTAGGGTAGTGTAAGTGAGGTTTTCCATTTGGAGTGATAATGTGAAAGGCCATCATAAAGCAGGAAGCTCTAATGAGTTTGGTTGCATTGCAAGGATTCTCTGACACAAAGAACAAGTTGTGATTGGAGTAGAGGAATAGGGGCTTTTCCTGTCTCACTATTACTTATTCCTTCTTGTATCAAAATCTTCAAAGAATTCATGGGAATGTATATTATGAAAAGATTATACCCAGATTTCAAAATCCTTGTGCACCAAAATAAACTTATCTTTAGTTTCATTTTTCTCTTAACTTTTTGGAATACACTTGCATTTTAGACGTGGTGTTTGGGGCACCTCTTGAGAACCACATAATGTCAAATCCCCCCAAGCAGAGGAAAGGAATGTCCATAATATAAGACTCCCAGAGTTGCCCAACAATTAGGAGAGGCAGAGCAATGCTTCTCTTTTCTCTGCAGTCCCAGGAAAATGTAGAGAACATGTATGACTTTCCTTATATATCATTAAGCGAACGTGGATCTTCCACAACATGGTTTGCCAGACCATTCCAACCAATTGCATCTTTACACTCTATTGGTGAAGTCCCAGCATCACAGAGAAGGAAGACATAAAGCCTAAGGCAAGATTCTTTACTACCCTGCAACTGGAAATGTTAGGTTGAGGCACTATCACAATTTAAAAATATCTTTCAGAGGTACTTGTGACACTATGTTAGTGGGAACATGGATGGAGATGGCTCATGACAATAGCTTTAGAGAGAAGAGGGCTGTGAAGTACTTTATTTGAGAGGTCTCTCTTTTGGGACTAAATTCAAGTATCTGAATTTTTCTCTTTTATCTTATCGAGCAGGCTGTGGAGTAGAGACTCTGAATTTTGACTTTGAGCTCTGGGAATACAGACTTGCCTCATTATTTTAACTTCTGCTTGTTCATTTGTTTTATTCATTTCTATCATATGGCATAGGCAACACTACTGGAAGGTCAGTCACAGAAACTGAGAGTCTGCAACCAGGGGAAAAAAGACTGAAAATTACATAATTTAATTCTGTGTCCTTGGATAACATTTTTGGCAACTCAGTCATTGCCCAGTTTCAGCTTTAGTGTTAATCATATTTTTTTATAATTTTTGTTAAGATGTTTATTTTATTTATTTGAAAGACAAAGTTAACAGAAAGAGAAGTAGAGACAGAGAGAGAGAGAGAGAGAGAGAGAGAAAGAATCTTCCATCCACTGGTTCACTCCCCACATGGCCACAAGCCAGGAGCTAGGAGCTTCTTCCAGGTATCCCACGTTGGAGTAGGAACCCAAGCACTTGGGCCATCCTCCGCTGCTTTCCTAGCCACATTAACAGGGAGCTGGATCAGAAATGGAGCAGCTGGGACTCGAGCTGGTGCCCATATGGGATGCCGTTGTTGCAAGCTTGAGCTTTAACCCTCTGTGCTACAGTGTGTCAGCCCTGTGTTAACCTTATTTTAAAATTTCTCCACCGGTGCTGCGGCTCAATAGGCTAATCCTCCACCTGCAGCGCTGGCACCCCGGGTTCTAGTCCCAGTTGGAGCGTCGGGGTCTTTCCCGGTTGTCCCTCTTCCAGTCCAGCTCTCTGCTGTGTCCCAGGAGTGCAGTGGAGGATGGCCCAAGTGCTTGGGCCCTGCACCCGCATGGGAGACCAGGAGGAAGCACCTGGCTTTTGGCTTCAGATCAGCGCGGTGCGCTGGCTGCAGCACGCCGGCTGCAGTGGCCATTGTGGGGTGAAACAACGGAAAAAAGGAAGACCTTTCTCTCTCTCTCCCTCACTGTCTAACTCTGCCTGTCAAAAAAAACAATTTTTTTTTCTCTTTGCCCTGTATTAACTGTTGCTGAGACTCCTTATCACTGTTTTGTTTTTTCCTAATTGTCCCTGGGTGTGCCTCTGTGGACATTGTAAGCAATTCTCTCTCCTTTCTATGTAACCTTTGAATCCACATTCTGGTAAACTACACTGTATTTGCAAGGTTTGTTTCTTGCTGACATGTTTAGTATTACTCTTGATACTTCTATGATATATATGCAGGGAGTATAGTAATGTGTGTGTAAAAAGCATTGTGAGGACAGTGAGTAATGTGTGTGCAATAGAGCATTGGTGAACTATCATAAAGGAGAGGAGAGAGCAGCATCCTTTTTTTTTTGGTTTTGAGTCAGTCACATAAGGAACAAAAAAGTGAAAGGATGTTGCTTTAGGCTTGAGTTTATGCAAAGGACTACAGTAGTTATATTCCTTTAGATATACTTGTCTAGTATTTCTCAAGCGTATAAAAACATAGTCTAGAAAATGTAATGTTTTATTAAACTAGCCACCAATTTGTCAGTTAAGCTTTCTTGAAAGTCTAACAATAGTATATAAGATTCTATACTCAATGAAAGGCAACAATGTATAACTCTACGAATGAAACATAGAACTTTAGGGTTAAAAGGAGACCTAAAAACCATACTACTTAGTACTTTTACCTTGTACAAAATGGAACTAAAGCTCCTGAGTTTTTCTAGATCAAATGACTACTTAATTGCTGAAAATAGTTGAGTTTTTCACCCCAATCTCTGTTTAAATTTTTTTTAAAGATTTTTATTTTATTTATTTGAAAGACAGGGTTACAGAGAGAGGTAGAGACAGAGAGAGAGGTCTTCCATCCACTGGTTCACTCCCCAGATGGCCACGATGGCCGGAGCTGCGCCAATCCAAAGCCAGAAGCCAGGAGCCAGGAGAAGGGGCCCAAGAACCTGGGCCGTCTTCTACTGCTTTCTCAGGCCATAGCAGAGAGCTGGATTGGAAGAGGAGCAGCTGGGACTAGAATCGGCACCCATATGGGATGCTGGCACTTCAGGCCAGGGCATTAACCCACTGCACCACTGCACCAGCCCCTCTATGTTTAAATTTAGTCAATGTTGAGTAAGAGTGATATTTATCTCAGGAACTAATAAACTCATTTTATTTTACATTTTTCTATCATGAATTATTCTTTTTTTTTTTTTTTTTTGACAGGCAGAGTGGACAGTGAGAGAGAGAGACTGAGAGAAAGGTCTTCCTTTGCCGTTGGTTCACCCTCCAATGGCCGCCATGGCTGGCGCGCTGTGGCCGACACATTGCGCTGATCCAAAGGCAGGAGCCAGGTGCTTCTCCAGGTCTCCCATGGGGTGCAGGGCCCAAGCACTTGGGCCATCCTCCACTGCCTTCCCAGGCCCCAGCAGAGAGCTGGCCAGGAAGAGGGGCAACCAGGAAAGAATCTGGCGCCCCGACCCGGACTAGAACTCGGTGTGCCGGTGCCACTAGGTGGAGGATTAGCCTATTGAGCTGCGGCGCCGGCTGAATTATTCTTAATTTATAAAAAATTTTAGTTTGATCTTCAGCATTCTCACTTAATATTGTTATTGGGGAAATACTAAAAAATTGACATACTAAAGCCCTGCAGTGTGATGCTAGGCAGACATAGTCAGGTCTCTGGGAACCACACACAACTCTGGGTGTGTTCTGGTGACACATTTCCACAGGGCATCAGCCTGTGTGCACCTGCGTGTCTATTCTGAAGTGTAAGCAAAAGGTGACTGGCTCCATTATTTTGTTTTACCTGATTTTCATGAACATCTTTAAAAAAGTGTGTGTGGGACTGGTGCCATGGCGCAGTAGGCTAATCCTCCACCTGTGGTGCTGGCATCCCGTATGGGCGCTGGTTCTAATCCCGGCTGCTCCTATTCCAGTCCAGCTCTCTGCTATGGCCTGGGAAAGCAGTGGAAGATGGCCCAAGTGCTTGGGCCCCTGCACCCACGTGGGAGACCAGGAAGAAGCACCTGGCTCCTGGCTTCAGATCGGCGCAGCTCTGGTCGTTGCAGTCATTTGGGGAGTGAACCAACAGATGGAAGACCTTCTCTCTCTCTCTCTCTCTCTCTCTCTCTCTCTCTGTAACTCTACCTCTCAAATAATAAATTGAATCTTTAAAAAAACAATGTGTGTGTGTGTGTGTGTGTGTGGTTTGTTCACCAAAGTAGGAAGAATAAAATGATTCAAATACATCATGAAGAATGTTGCTAATTGTTTCTAACACAAAGCTTTTGTGCCTCAGACTCTCCAGATGGAATATATACCTAATTGCCACCCAAAACTGAGAACCAGTTTCTGATCTGAGACTTATGGAGGACCTACATGGTTCTTTGGTAGAAAAGGAAAGCGTCTCTGCCACTCTTCTTCCATGTGCTTGTCTGGATTGTGTCTTTCTCTTTCATTGTGCTCTAATTTTTGAATCCTTGGACTGATTACCTTTGGAAAGAACTTGCATGTGGTCCATGGACATAAATTTCTCTTTGTCTCATCATGTTAATGTGCTGTATTCTATTCTTTCCCTGGGAATGGATACAGTTTTTAAAGTGGGTAATTGGAATGTGCTACCTTGAGTGTTCAGTTCATATTTACTTCCTTCTACTGCTTAGCAGTTTGGGCTTTTAAGCAAACAAGAGAGTAACTTTCTGAATATATGAATGGAGTAAAAATAAAAGAGCTTGACTATCAGATATGAATCAAATGTGCTGTACAGACTAATCCATTATTTGAATATATCTGGAACTGCATGAATTAATCTTAATCATGTTTATTCTTCTAAAAATATCAACAGTTAAAAATTGTATATCTCATTATTAAAAATGGTTTTGGAGCTGAGATGTAATCTCCTAAATGAAGGAATAAAAATAAGAGTAGGATGAGCCAGCTAACCATTTTTCTTCCTAAAAAATTGAAATAATGGAGATCAAGTCTGTTAGGCATCGTTCAATAAATCAGAAGTCTTATGACATGTCTGATATTTTATTAACAAAATTTTGATTTGATTTATCTATTTAAAATAACTGGCAAGGTATTCTTTAAGTGCTGAAACATAAATTCCAAACATGGAACCTTGATTTATGTTAATGGAGGCTTACATGGGAGACACAGCAGTGATCACAGATTTTGCAGTGTTCTTTCAGTTGGGGGATAAAACCACAGAAAAAACTGCTGCTGTCTGTCCCCTCTGTTGATGTAAGGATGATGACTGTCCTAAGAAAATGATACCATCTTGATGACACAAACTTTCACTTCTTTTCCAGACACCTCCAGATTTTCTGAAATCCGCCCCACAGTTCTGAATGCCTGTGTCTCCAGACTTCTACAAGAATCGCAGTGGAGTTTTATTAAAACATTCCTTGGTAAATACTGGGTCTTTCTGATCTCTTACAGTAACGTTTATATTTTCATATTCCTCAAAGCGCCTTCATCTCCCCTGCCTCTTAGACTCTGAATGACACCTACTGAATTACCTATTCCAATTCTGTGTCAATCCAGAATATACCTGTATTCTACTCGGGCTGCTAGGCATTACCAGAGAGAAACTGCATGGTCATGCAAATTGGCACCACTCCACGTCTTTACTTTCCAGCCTCAGAAATTTCTATACCATTTGCACCATGCAGCCCTCTTCCTTGTTCTTTGCAGGACTGTCCCCTTCTGATCCTTTAGGCTGCACCCTAACTGTTGCTGCCTTAGAGAATCCTTCCATGATCTCCCTGTGAAAGGAGGTCTCCCCCCAATCCAGTGCCCTGTTGATTTCAAGACATTTTGCACTCTTTGTACTTATATGTTTGCCTTACTATTTCCACCATCAATTTCTTGTGCCTAGGGAAAGCATCTATTCAACTAATTACTATAGAACTGTATTTTCTAGCACACAGTAAACCTTCAGCAGCATTTTTTGTATAAATAAATAAATAGTTAGATTGTGTTTGAGAAAGAGAAGCATTTTCCTAAGTTATATAAATATTGAAAGCGCTGCTTTAAATAAGCATAGCCACGAGCCATCCTTATAGATGTTAAGTTGCTTCACCTTTCAAATAAGCTTCTTAAGTGTGGTGAAATAGTTAAACAGATGTTTGTGTTCTGATTTTGGAACCTGCAGCACTTGCTGATCCTCTGTAATAGTGATTCACAACTTCCCTTTGTCTGCAGGTGCACACAGGCTGATGCTTTGTTGACATGTGCTGCCCAAACACAAATAGGGCTGTGTATGGTTCTTGGAGCCCTGACTGTTCCTGAATCTTTTTTTTTTTTTCTCCACTCAGGAAATCATACTGGGGTATGAGTGAGGGCGAGTGTAAGGCTACTGGTAGGATTACCTTGACTCTATTTTCTTTTGTCTTAAAATGCAAAAAAGACAAACCAATTATACATTGTATGTTTTTAAAAAGTTGTAATGCATTAACTTGCTTCACACCTCACAACCAACCAGGACATATCAGTTTGTCATGACGTGTGATTTTTAAAAACTATTTATTTATTTATTTGAAGGCAGAGAAAGAAAGAGAGAGATCTTCCATCCTCTGATTGACTCCCTGAATGCCTGCAATAGCTGCGCCAGGCTGAAACCCAGAACTAAGAACTCCATCCAGGTCTCCCACATGTGGGACAGGAACCCAAATACTTGGGCCATCATCATCCACTGCCCTACAGGTTTGTTAGCAGGAAACTTAATGGGAATTGTGCAGTAGCTGGGACTCAAACAGGCCTTCTGATGTGGGATCAGGGCATCCTAGGTGGTAGCTTAACCCACTGTATCACAACACCTGTCCCATGACTAAAAAGAATGTATTTGATAGTGAAAGCAAGAGCAAGAGAGAGAGAGAGAGAGAACGAGAACTCCCACCGGCTGGTTCACTCCTCAGATATCCGCAGTGGTTGAGGCTGTACTGAGGCTGAAGCTGGGAGCTGGGAATTCAATTTAGGTTTCCCATGTGGGTTGCAGAGACCCAACTACTTGAAATATCACTGCTGCCACCCAGGCTCTGCATTCATAGGAAACTGAAATCAAGAGCCAGAGCTGGGAGTCAAACCCAGGTTCTCTTATATGGGATGTGAGTGCCTTAACCTCTAGACTAAATGCTTCCTCCTGACATATGACTTTTGAACTGATGTTTTATAAATTGGTCCAAAATTTCTGGAAGTACATTACTGTTTATATTTTTTGGAGAAAAAAAAGAATAAATGTAGATGAGAGTGCAAAACAGCAATACTATAGGAGTGGAGGGGAACTCATGGAAATAATAATTGCAGGAAAGCTTATACCATGCCTGGTAAGGTGTTAACTCTGAAACTCTTCCTTCTTGATTATCATAAATGCATATTATTTAACTTGAGCTATATAAATGCAAATACTAGACATATTTGGTCTGAAAATATAGTTTCATATAGCTTCAGCTAATTAATTCATTAGTGTGTTCTATCATTCATCTAAAATGTAATTGGGGATGAGTTATAAGTTCTTGCAAAAGGGAAAAGAGCAACAAAATAGTGAAACCTTTGATGTGTGTTTTAGTGGCTTCTTTTTTAATACAAGTCAACTAATCAATGAACTTGTCAGTCTGGGTTGTACATCCTTAGCCTAGCACTGGTCTATCAGCTAACTGGGGCAAACCAGAAAAATCCAGGATAGGTTTGGACCATAGAAATTTCCACCACTATGGGAAGAACCAAACATCTAGGAAGTAGTTTACATATGATAAATTATGCAACAAACAAGAATGCATTTTTTTTTTTTTTTGCCAAACTGGTTCCTTTTTTGGCTTGCCACTTTGGTATTCTTTAAAATTTTTCCCCCAGAAACCTTATATTTAAGGAAAGTAAACTTCATACATTTCATAATTACAACTTTAGGCACATGGTTATTCTTCCCACCATACCCACTCTCCCACCCACACTCCCATCCTTCTTCGTCCTCCTTCTCTTATTCCCATTCTTATTTTTTACTAAGATCTATTTTCAATTAACTTTATACACATATGACTATATGTTAAGAGTTCAACAAATAGTATGCAAAAAAACCATATTCCTCAACAGTTGAAATAAGGCTCCATATTCAAAATCCTTGGTTCTCAAAGTGTCAATTTCATTTCTATAGATTGCCTTTTAGGTGCTCTATTTGTTCTCATAGGTCAGGGAGAACATATGGTATTTGACCTTTTGGTACTGGCTAATTTACTAAGTATGATGTTTTCCAGTTTTATTCATTTTGTTGAAAATGACCAGATTTTGGGATTTTTTTTGTGTAGTACTCCATGGTGTACATATCCCATAATTTCTTTATAAAGTCTTCAGTTGATGGGCATTTGGGTTGATTCTATATCTTAGCTATTGTAAATTGAGCTGCAATAAACATGGGGATACAGATAACTAATATGCTGATTTCATTTCCTTTGGATAAATTCTCAGGAGTGGGATGGCTGGGTAGTATGGTAGGTCTATATTCAGATTTCTGAGGTATCTCCATATTGTCTTTTTTTTTTAAAAAAAGATTTTTTATTTATTTATTTGAGAGTTAGACTTACAGACAGTGAGAGGTAGAGATAGACAGAAAGGTCTTCTTCCACTGGTTCATTCCCCAAATGGCTGCAACTGCCGGAGCTGTGCCGATCCAAAGCCAGGAGCCAAGAACTTCCTCTGGTCTCCCATACAGGTGCAGGGGTCCAAGGACTTGGGCCATCTTCCACTGCTTTCCTAGGCCATAGCAGAGAGCTGGTTTGGAAGAAGAGCAGCCGGGACTAGAAATGACGCCCACATGGGATGCTGGTGCCACAGGCAGGGGATCAACCTGTTGCACCACAGTGCTGGTCCTCCATATTGTCTTCCATAGTGGTTTTACCAGTTTACATTCCCACCATCAATGAATTAGGGTACCTTTTACACAACATCTTCACCAGCATTTGTTGTTTGTTGATTTATGTATGAAAGCCATTCGAACAAGGGTAAGGTGAAACCTCGTTGTGGTTTTGATTTGCATGTCCATGACAGGTAGTGATCCTGAGCATCTTTTCATGTGTCTGTTAACCATTTGGATTTCCTCTTTTGAAAAATGTCTATTGAGGTCCTTGGCCCATCTCTTAACTGGGTTTTTTGTTTTGTTGTTGTGGAGTTTCTTTATCTCTTTATATATTCTGGTTATTGATCCCTTATCAGTTGCATAGTTTTTAAATAATTTCTCCCATTCTGTCAGTTGCTTCTTCATTTTCCTGAGTGTTCCTTTTGCAGTACAGAAGCTTCTCAATTTGATGTAATCCCATGTATTAATTTTGGCTTTGATTGCCTGTGCCTCTGGGGTCTTCTCCAAGAACTCTTTGCCTATGCCAATGTCTTGTAGGGGTTTCCCAATGTTCTCTAATAATTTGATGGTGTCAGGTCAGAGATTTAGGTCTTTAATCCACGTTGAGTAGATTTTTGTGTAAGGTGTATGGTAGGGGTTTTTCCTGCATACTTCTGCATGTGGAAATACAATTTTCCCAGCACCATTTTTTGAAGAGACTGTCTTTTCTCCAGGGATTGGTTTTAGCTCCTTGATCAAATATAATTTGGTTGTAAATGTTTGGATTAATTTCTGGTGTTTTTATTCTGTTCCATTGGACTATCCATCTATTTTTGTACCAGTACCAGGCTGTTTTGATTATAACTGTCTTATAGTATGTCTTGAAATCTGGTATTGTGATGCCTCTGGTGTTATTTTTGTTGTGTAAGATTACTTTTAGCTATTTGAGGTCTCCTGTGCCTCCATATGAATTTCAGCATCATTTTTTATATATCTGAGAAGAAGGTCTTTGGTATTTTGATTTGGATCACATTGAATCTGTAAATTGCTTTTGGAAGAATGGACATTTTGATGATATCGATTCTTCCAATCCATGAACATGGAAAATTTTTCTATTCTCTTGTATCTTCTCTTTCTTTCTTTAATTTTTTGTAATTCTCTTAATAGAGATCTTTGACATTCTTGGTTAAACTTATTCCAAGGTATTTGATTTTTTTTTTTAGCTATTGTGAATGGAATTGATCTTAGAAGCTCAATCTCTGCCTTGGCATTATCTGTGTATAGAAAGGCTATTGGTTTTTGTGTGTTGATTTTATATCCTGCCACTTTACCAAATTCTTCTGTGAGTTCCAGTTGTCTCTTAGTGGAGTCTTTTGGATTCCTTATATATAGAATCATGTCATCTACAAATAAGAATAATTTGACTTTCTCCTTCCCAATTGTATCCCTTTGGTTTCTTTTTCTTTTTTTTTAAATAATTTATTTTATTTGAAAGTCAGAGTTACATAAAGAGAGGAGAGGCAGAGAGAGAGAGAGAGGTCTTCTATCCGGTGGTTCACTCCCCAATTGGCTGCAATGTCTGGAGCTGTGCCGATCCAAAGTCAGGAGCCAGGAGCTTTGTCCTATTCTTCCATGTGGCTTCAGGGACCCAAGGACTTGGGCCATCTTCTACTGCTTTCCCAGGCCATTGCAGAGAGCTGGATCAGAAGTGGAATAGTGGGGACTCAAACTGGTGCCCATATGGGATGCTGTCACTGCAGGCAGCAGCTTTACCTGCTACACTACAGCACCAGCCCCGTTTTGATTTCTTTTTCTTGACTAATGGCTCTGTCTGAAACTTCCAGGACTCTACTGAATGACAGTGGTTAGAGTGGGCATCCTTGTCTGGTTCCAGATCTCAGTGGGAATGCTTCCAACTTTTCTCCATTCAACAGGACGCTGACTGTAATTTTGTTTTAAATTGCTTTGATTGTGTTTAAGAATGTTCCTTCTCTACCCAATTTGCTTAGACTTTTCATCATGGAAGGGTGTTGTATTTTATCAAATGCTTTCTCTGCATCTATTGAGATAATTATTTGGTTTTTGTTCTTCAATTTGTTAATGTGTTATATCGCATTGATTGATTTGCAAATGTTGAGCCATCCCTGCATACCAGGAATAAATCCTACTTGGTCTGTGTGGATGATCTTTCTAATGTGTTGTTGGATTTGAATGGCTAGTATTTTGTTGAGGATTTTTGCATCTATGTCATCTGGAAAATTGGTCTATAGTTATCTTTCTCTGATGTATCTTCAGGTTTAGGAATTAAGGTGATGCTGATTTCATAGAAAGAGTTTGGATTCCCTACCTTTCAAATTCTTCTAATAGCTTGAGAAGAATTGGAGTTAGTTCTTATTTAAATGTCTGGTAGAATTCAGCAGTGAAGCCATCTGGTCCTGGGCTTTTGTTTGTTGGGAGGGTCTTTATTACTGATTCAATTCTCGTCTTTGTTATGGGCCTGTTTAGGTTTTCTGTGTCTCCTTGGCTCATTTTATGTGGATTGTGTGTGTCCAGGAATCTGTGCCTTTCTTCTAGGTCCCAGTTTATTGTCATACAGCTTTTCGTAGTAATTTCTAATGATTCTTTTATTTCTGTGGTATCTATTGAAACATTTTCTTTTTCATCTCTAATTTTATTGATTTGGTTCTTCTACCCCATTTTTGTTTAGTTGGGACAATGGTGTGTCAATTTGGTTTATTTTTTTTTAAAAATCAGCTCTCTGTTTTGCTGATCTTTTGTATTTTTTATGGTTTCAATTTTGTTTATTTTTTCTCCACTTTTAATTATTTCTTTTCTCCTACTAGTTTTGGGTTTGGTTTGCTGTTGTTTTTCTAGGTCCTTGAGATGCATTGATAGCTCATTTATTGGTGTGTTTCCAATTTCTTGATGTAGGCATCATCTACTATAAACTTTCCTCTTAACTCAGCTTTTGCTGTATCCCATAAGTTTTGATATATTATATTGTCATCATCATTTGTTTCCAGAAATTTTTTGACTTCTCTTTTATTTTTTCAATGACCTACTGTTCATTCAGGAGCATGTTATTCAGTCTCAATACATTTGCAAATGTTCTAGAGGCTCTTTAGTTATTAATTTCCAGTTTCATTCCACTGTGGTCTGAGAAGATGCATGGCATGATTTCAATTTTTTTGTTTTAATTTGCTGAGACTTGTTTTATTGCCTAGCATGTGGTGAATCCTGGAGAAGGTTCCATGCATGGATGAGAAGAATGTGTATTCTGCAACTGTAGGATGGAAAGTTCTGTAGATATGTGTTAGGTCATTTGGTCTATAGTGTCGATTAACTCTGTTGTTTCCTTGCTGATTTTCTGTCTTAGAAATTTCCATTGCTGAAAGTGGGGTATTGAAGTTCCCCATTACTTTTGTATTGGAGTCTATGTCTCCCTTTAGATCCATTAACATTTCTTTTAAATAGCCAGGTGCTTTGTAATTAGGTGCAAATACATTTATAATAGTGACATCTTCCTGTAGAATTGTTCCCTTAATCATTACATAGTGCCCTTCTTTGTCTCTTTTAACAGTTTTTGTGTTGAAGTCAATTTTGTTTGATAGTAAGATGGCTACATCAGCTCTTTTTTGGTTTCTCTTAGCCTTGAATATCTTTTTCTATCCTTTGACTTTCAGCCTGTATGTATCTTGTTGGTGAAATGTGTTTCTTATAGGTAGCAAATAGTTGAGTTTTATTTTTTAATCCATTCTACCAGTCTGTGTCTTGTAACTGGAGCATTGAAGCCATTTACATTCAAGGTGACTATTGATAAATAATGATTCTGCCCTGCCATTTTTACATAAATATTTGTATTGTTTACTTTGGATTTCCTTTGTACTTTCATTGGGAGATTTTCTACTTTTACCTACTTTTGTAGTGATGGCCATGTTTCTGCATTTCTGTGTGCAGCACATCCTTAAGCATTTTTTAGTATTAGTAAATGGGTTGTGACAAATTCTTTCAATTTCTGTTTGTTATGAAGGTCTTTATTTCACTTTCCTTCATAAATGAGAGTTTTTCAGGGTATAGTATTCTGGGTTGACAGTTTTTTTCCCTTAAGACTCAGACTATATCTTGCTCCTAGCCTGTAGGGTTTCTGGTGAGAAGTCCACTGTGAATCTAATTGGAGATCCTCTGAAAGTAATCTGGCATTTCTCTCATGCACTTTTTATTTTTATTAAACTTTTATTTAATAAATATAAATTTTGAAAGTGGAATTTTTGGATTATAGCGGTTTTTTTCCCTCATAACCACACTCCCACCCACAAACCATCCCATCTCCTACTCTCTCTCCCATCCCATTCTTCATTAAGATTGATTTTTAATTATCTTTATATGCAGAATATCAACTTAGTATATACTAAGGAAAGATTTCAACAGTTTGTACCCACACAGACACACAAAGTATAAAGTGCTGTTTGAATACTAGTTTTACTGTTAATTTGCATAGTGCAACATATTAAGGACAGAGATCCTACATGGGGAGTAAGTGCACAGTGACTCCCATTGTTGATTTAACAATTGACACTCTTATTTATGACATCAGTAATCACCCTAGGCTTTTGTCATGAGCTGCCAAGGCTATGGAAGCCTCTTGAGATCACAAACTCCAACCTTATCTAGACAAGGCCGTAATCAAAGTGGAAGTACTCTCCTCCCTTCAGACAAAAGTACCTCCTTTTATAACCTGTTCTTTTCGCTGGGATCTTCCTCACAGAGATCTTTCATTTAGGTCATTTTTTTTTTCCACAGTGTCTTGGCTTTCCATGCCTGAGAAACTCTCATGGGCTTTTTAGCCAGATCCGAATGCCGTAAGGGCTGATTCTGAGGCCAGAGTGCTGTTTAGGCATCTACCATTCTATGAGTCTGTTGTGTATCCCGCTTTCCATATTGGATAATTCTCTCCTTTTTAATTCTATCAGTTATTATTAGCAGACACTGGTCTTGTTTATGTGATCCTTTTGATGCTTAATCCTATCTTTATGATAAATTATGAACTTAAATTGATCACTTTAACTAGTAAAATGGCATTGGTATATGCCAACTTAAGGGGATTTCAAATCTCATGGCACGTTTGTAGCTCTGCCATTAGGGGTAAGTCTGAGTAAGCATTTGCTGAACTGTACATCTCCTCCCTTTCTTATTCCCACTCTTATTTTTAACAGGGATCAATTTTCAGTTAAATTTAAACACCTAAGAATAATTGTGTGTTAGTTAAAGAGTTCAATCAATGGTATTAAGTAGAACAAGAAAATACTACAAAGAATAAAATAGCAAGTTGTTCCTCAACAGTCAAGACAAGGGCTGATCAAGTCATTGTTTCTTATAGTGTCAGTTTCATTTCTACAGGTTTCCTTTTTGTGCTTAGTTAGTTGTCATAGGTCAGGGTAAACATTTATTTGTCCCTTTGGGACTGGCTTATTTCACTCAGCATGATTCCAGAGTCCTCCATTTTGATGCAAATGACAGGATTTCATTTTTTTTTTACTGTTGTATAGTATTCTATAGAGTACATGTCTCATAATTTCTTTATCCAGTCTTCTGTTGATGGGCATTTAGGTTGATTCCTTATCTTAGCTATTGTGAATTGAGCTGCAGTAAACATTGAGGCATCTTTTATTTGCCAATTTAATTTCCCTTGGGTAAATTCTAAGGAGTGGGATGGCTGGGTCATGTGGTAGGTTTCTGAGGAATCTCCAAACTATCTTCCATAATGGCTTTACCATTTTGCATTCCCACCAACAGTGGATTGGTGAGCCTTTTTTCCCACATCCTTGCCAGCATCTGTTGTCAGTTGACTTCTGTGTGTAAGTCATTCTAAGTGGGGTGAGGTGAAACCTCATTGTGGTTTTGATTTGCATTTCCCTGATTGCTAGTGATCCTGAATATTTTTTCATGTGTCTGTTGGCCATTTGGATTTCCTCTTTTGAAAAATATCTATTTAGGTCCTTGGTACACCTCTTAAGTATGTTATTTGTTTTGTTGTTGTGGTGTTTCTTGATCTCTTTGTAGATTTTGGTTATTAATCCTTTATCAGTTGTATAATTTTGCAAATATTTTTTCCCATTCTGTCAGTTGCCTCTTCACTTTCCTTACTGTTTCTTTTGCAGTACAGAAGCCTCTCAATTTGATGTTAATCCTGGCTTTGACTGCCTATGCCTCTGGGGTCTTCTCCAAGAAGTCTTTGCATGTGCCAGTGTCTTGCAGGGTTTCTCCGATGTTCTCTAATAATTTGATGGTGTCTGGTTATAGATTTAGATCTCTAATCCATGTTGAGTGGATTTTTGTGTAAGGTGAAAGTTAGGGGTCTTTCTTCATGTTTCTGCACGTGGTAATCCAATTTTCCCAGCACCATTTGTTGAATGGACTGTCCTTGCTCCAGGAATTGGTTTTAGATCCTTGATCAAATATAAGTTGGCTGTAGATGTATGGATTGATTTCTGGTGTTTGTATTATGTTTATTGGTCTATCCCTTTGTTTCTGTACCAATTCCATGCTGTTTTGATTATAACTGTCTTATAGTATGTCTTGAAATCTGGTATTGTGATGCCTCTGGCTTTGTTTTGTTTGTTTGTTTGTTTGTTTTAGACAGAATTAGACAGTGAGAAAGAGAGAGACAGAAAGGTCTTCCTTCCATTGGTTCATTCCCGAAATGGCCACTATGGCTGGCGCACTGCGCTGATCCAAAGCCAGGAGCCAGGTGCTTCCTCCTGGTCTCCCATGCTGGTGCAGGGCCCAAGGACTTGGGCCATCCTCCACTGCCCTCCCAGGCTACAGCAGAGAGCTGGACTGGAAGAAGAGCAACCGGGACAGATCTGGCGCCCCAACCGGGACTAGAACCTGGTGTGCCAGCGCCACAGGCAGAGGATTAGCCAAGTGAGCTAAGGATTAGCCAATTAGCACCTGCCCTAGCTTTGTTTTTGTTATGTAAGTTTGCTTTAGCTATCCAAGGTCTCCTGTGCCTCCATATGAATTTCAGCATCATTTTTTCCAGATCTGAGAAGAATGTCTTTGGTATTTTGATTGGGATCGCATTGAATCTATAAATTGCTTTTGGGAGAATGGATATTTTGATGATATTGATTCTTCCAATCCATGAGCATGGAAGATTTTTCCATTTTTTGGTATCCTCTTCTATTTCTTTAAGGTTTTGTAATTCTCATCATAGAGATATTTGACATCCTTGGTTAAGTTTATTCCAAGGTATTTGATTGTTTTTGTAGCTATTGTAAATAGGATTGGTCTTAGAAGTTCTTTCTTAGCCATGGCATTGCCTGTGTATACAAAGGCCGTTGATTTTTGTGCATTGATTTTATATCCTGCTACTTTGCCAAACTCTTCTATGAGTTCCAATAGTCTCTTAGTGGAGATCCCATAAATAAAGATCCATAAATAAAAGTAAAGATCCATAAATAAAAATCCCCTAAATAAAGAATCATATCATCTGCAAAGAGGGCTTTTTGAGTTCTTCCTTCCCAATTGTATCCCTTTAATTTCTTTCTCTTGCCTAATAGCTCTGGCTAAAACATCTAGAACTATATTGAATAGCAGTAGTGAAAGTGGGCATCCCTGTCTGGTACTGGATCTCAGTGGAAATGCTTCCTACTTTTCCTCATTCAATAGGATGCTGGCCACTCAGCTGAACTCTTCTCCTCAATGGTGATCTGTGCTTGAGTGCTAGCCCCAGTGGATATAATATTCGACTGCTCTGTCCCAAGGACCACAGAAAGGATCTGTGCATTCCTCAGTGTAATCTCAGGTTCCCCTGCAATGTCTCTCATTGGGTAGCTAGGGCCGCCCAAGCGTGTGGCATCTCCCACTGAGACTACTCAAAGTCTCAGCCACACCGTGAGTTCTCCCATATGCCCTCAGTTGTTTTTTTTTTTTTTTCCCCACAGTCCCGGTTCAGAAGCTTCACACGGTTACAAGTTCCTAGCCGCCTGTTATCTCTCCCTACCAGAGTCAGATTTCTCTGCTTGGTTGATTGCCAGGTGCAGCCCCAAGCTGGCACAGCTATGACATTTGTCCAAAATGGCATCCGCTCTATTGGCTTGTATGCCTTTGTGAAGTGATTGGAGAGATAGAATCGTGTCTGTACCATCCCTTGTTTTTTCTCTTCTCTAGTTAGGCTAGTGTACATTTCCCCCACGGGGCTTCAAGCCTCGTTCCCTCTAGGCTCTTCCTGCAGCTTTTCCACCAGTGTCTCGGGCTACTGCGGTCTTGTCTCACCTCACTTTCCAGTGCTGGTGCAGAAGTTCTTGGCAGCTAGAGGCCCGAGCAATGGGTGCCCATGCCCTCCACATAGGTCCACTGTGTCCGTCTAATTATGGAAGAGTTTGCTCTGCCATTTTTTCCTTGACTCTTCCCTGAGAATACACTATATCCACTTTTATTAAACTATCTTCTCCTGGACTATCAGTAAGCTCCCTCCCTATTCCACCATCTTGGAACCTGCCCTTATCATGCACTTTTTAGAATCTTTTCTTTATGTTTTACTGTCGACAGTTTGACTACAGTGTGTTGTGGTGAAAATCTTTTCTGGTCATGTGTACTAGGAGTTCTTTGTGCTTCCTGTACTTAAATGTCCCTTTCCTTCTTCTAATTAGGGATGTTTTCTGCAATTATTTCACTAAAAAGGCCTTCTAATCCATGCTCTCTTTCCTCACCTTCAGGAACTCTTAAGCCCCATATGGTGGGTTGTTTGATAATATCCCATAGATCTCCAATAGTGTTTTTTTTTTTTAGTTTTCTAATTTCTCCTCCTCCTCCCCCTCCTCCTCCACTTTGAAACTTTGTTATTCTTTATTCTGCTTTACTGAGTCTATCACCATAATTTTTTTATTTGTTCTAGTGAATTCTTCATTTCCAAGATTTCATTTTGATTTCTCTTTAAGATCTCAATTTCATGGGAGAAATTTTCTTTCATGTCTTGTATGGATTTCATTAGTTTCTGGATTTGCTTCTGATTACTTCTAAGTAATCCTACGATCAATTTTTTTAAATTCCATTTCTGGCATTTCTTTTTTCTTTTCATCTTCCATTACATTCTTTTGGGGGTGTCATGTTGTCTTCCTTATTCTTGTTTCCTGAATTGCTGCATTTATTATTAGACATTTATGGAGATACTTGTTGGTTTCTTTTTTGTTTTGTTTTGTTTTGTTTTGTTTTTTCTCTGTGATGACCTTTATCTTTGGTCTATTCCTCTGTGGCTTAGTAGAGTGTTTGCATTTTCAGTGAATACCTAGAGGCATATTCTGGGTGTGATCAAGGGATCCGTTCTGTGCTCCAGGGTGTAGGGAGTGTCCAAGGTGATACCCAAGTTGGGTGTGGTAAAATCTCTTTTTTATTTTTATCAAGTGGGATATTTTTTTTCTGCTCTGTTGACATAGTCTCACACTCACCCCCTCTCCTCAAAGATCAGTGCCTTGGTGCTAGCCCCACTGGGTATAACATTTGTCTACATTGCCACAAGAACAACACAAAGGATCTGTGCATTCCTTGGTGTAAGCAGGAATCCCACAGCAATGACCCCCACCAGGGAATCAGGGAGCCCAGAGCATGTGGAACCAGCCACAGTGACTGCCCAAAGTCTCAGCCCTACCCTGCACCCTCCCATGCAGCCACAGTGTTTTCACAGTCCCGGCACAGAAGCCTCCCATAGTTGCAAGGATCTAGCCCTTTGTCAGTGCTCCCACTCAGACTCAGGTGGCTCCGCTCAGCTGATTGCCGGGTATGTGGACAGGAGCTGGTGCAATTGTTACATATGTGCAGAATGGTGCTTACCCTCTCTCAGCTTGTTATAGGATACAGGTGCAGAGTAGTTAGGGAGAGAAATGTGCCCCTTTTTTTTCTCCTCTAGGTTGGCAGATACACTGCCCCCACAGGGCTCCAAGCCAGACGCACACCAGGCTCTTCCTGCAGCTTTATCTCCAGTGGCTTAGGCTACTGTAGTCTAGTCTCCTCACTCTCTAGAGCTGGTGCTGGGGCTCTCGGCTGCTGGAGTCCTGAGTTGGCACATCCACACCCTCCACATAGGTGCACAGTGTCCCTCTAACTTGCATGAAGTTTCTTCTGTCGTTTTCTCCCTAACTCTTCTCTGCGACTGCACTCTCTCCGCTTTTTTTCCCCTAGAATGGAGCAGTAAGCTGTCTCCCTGTTCTGCCATCTTGGATCTCTCCCACTCTCATATTTTGAAAAAATATTTGTTATACAGTCTGTTGTATAACTTGAATGAGATGTGAAAATGCTTGGCATAGTTCCTGTCCTATAGTGCACTACTGACATTTTGGTCAATGAGGGACAGATGAATGATCCACTTAGCTGGCTGAACATCTGATTTTTCAAGATAGAGGTGTGGCCACATATGATAGAGAATAGAATATATATTTCTGAGATGAATTAAAAGTAAATTTCATTTTTCTCCTGGGATTCCCATAACATAAACCAACTCTGACTGAGATGTATTGACAGGATACTCAGGTTTTGTGGGGCTGGCGCTGTGATGCAGCGAGTTAACATCCTGGCCTGAAGTGCCGGCATCCCATATGAGCACCAGTTCTAGTCCCTGCTACTCCTCTTCTGGTACAGCTCTCTGCTATGGCCTGGGATAGTGGTAGAAAAATATTTTGTTTTGTAAAAATAGTTTTGTATTTATAGAAAAATTGCAATGCTAGTATAGCAAATTCCCATATATCCTTCAGCCTCCTTCTTCTAATGGTAACATCTTACATAATCAGGGTTTGTATATCATTTCTAAGCGATCACCATTAGTATATATTACCATTAACTAAGCTACAGACTTTATATATAATTCACAAGTTTTTCAATTGATTTTGTTTTTTTCTGTCCCTAATTTAAGATGCCACATTATACTTGCATGCAAGTATATGTATTTTAAGATGGACAGTATCTGGAATTAAGAGGAAAGCATTTGACAGACATTGCTGTGGTTAATTCTTAGATATCTCACATAGATACACACATCCCACACACATTTAGGATCAGACTGCATACCTATTTTTGTACCCTCTTAATTTTTATTTTTACTATTTTTTAATTCATAAATATTATGCTATGATATTTTAGTATTTGAAAGTGCTTTTCATGTGTACATCATTTTATCATATAGATATATTTTTGGTTTAGTTTAACTTAATTATTAAGTTCTTGTTTCCATGTTTTTTTATCATACATATGTGATGCTTTTTGGTGTACATGAGCTTTTGGGGATTTTTCACATTTCTATATCTTGGTGAACAAGAAGACTATATAATGTGAAGATCTATAGATTTTCCCCTTTTATTATGTTCTTAAATTCAAGAGAAAAACCATTTAAACCATACTGAAATCTCTAAAATTTTAAAACAAAACTCTCCCTGCTCTGGTAGACTTTCTTCCCTGAGGAAAAGAAAGTATTAGGAGGTCTCTGGCTTTAACCTGAGCCTGTGCAACTGGAATTACCAGGAGTGCAACTGTGAGAAAGTTCAGCTTCAACCTTGAACTTTCCATAAGCGTTCAAAGATCCAGTGAGTTCCCAGGAAGAATATTATAGCCCCATTATCTTTTGATTTGTGACCAGAGGTGGCATTGCTTGGGCAATTCTTGTGGTTGTAGTTACTGCTTTTATTTTCAAGGGTTCGCTGCTCCTTTGTCAGTTAGGAGCCAATTTCCTTATTAGGAAACAGACACTGACACAGAGAAAAGGACCTCAGATTGTCCCTGCCTTCCAGACTGGATAATTCATTTGTTCCCTGGACATTGATTTCTTGAGCTTCAATCAGTTGACACTCTGATAGCCTTGAGGTAACATCAAGGAAACATCTTGAGGTCCCTTTTTCTCAAACCCACAAGCCACTGTGACTGGACATTGCAAACATGCTATTGAGGGTAGAGCTTACTAGCCCTAGGGAATGATAGTGGGGAAAATGTGGCCTCTGGAGTTAGATAGGCCTGTACTCAAATGCTGGATTGAATAACTACTAAACACTTTGATGTTAAGCAAATAACAGCTCTCTGAACCCATGCTTTTTTAAAATTTTTTTATTATTTATTTATTTATTTATTTATTGACAGGCAGAGTGGACAATGAGAGAGAGAGAGACAGAGAGAAAGGTCTTCCTTTTGCCGTTGGTTCACCCTCCAATGGCCGCCATGGCTGGTGCGCTGCGGCCGGCGCACCGCGCTGATCCGATGGCAGGAGCCAGGTACTTATCCTGGTCTCCCATGGGGTGCAGGGCCCAAGCACTTGGGCCATCCTCCACTGCACTCCCTGGCCACAGCAGAGAGCTGGCCTGGAAGAGGGGCAACCGGGACAGAATCCGGCACCCCAACCAGGACTAGATCCTGGTGTGCCAGCGTTGCAAAGCGAAGGATTAGCCTGTTGAGGCGCGGCACCAGCCCCCATGCTTTTTCAATTATAAATGAGAGATTGTTATACAGTCTGTTGTATAACTTGAATGAGATGTGAAAATGCTTGGCATAGTTCCTGTCCTATAGTGCACTACTGGCATTTTGTTCAATGAGGGACAGATGAATGATTCACTTAGCTGGCTGAACATCTGATTTTTCAAGATAGAGGTGTGGCCACATATGATAGAGAATAGAATATATATTTCTGAGATGAATTAAAAGTAAATTTCATTTTTCTCCTGGGATTCCCATAACATAAACCAACTCTGACTGAGATGTATTGACAGGATACTCAGGTTTTGTGGGGCTGGCGCTGTGATGCAGCGAGTTAACATCCTGGCCTGAAGTGCCGGCATCCCATATGAGCACCAGTTCTAGTCCCGGCTACTCCTCTTCTGGTACAGCTCTCTGCTATGGCCTGGGATAGCGGTAGAAGAAGACCCAAGTCCTTGGGCCCCTGCACCCGCTGTGGGAGACCTGGAAGAGGCTCCTGGCTT